CGCACAGCAGCGGCTAGAGCACCAACCTGATCCGCCGGTAAACCAGCCTCGATCGCTGGCCCGGCGATGTTTGATGGGATGGTCGTCGAGAGTCGGTTAGCCAGGATGGTCGTATAAACGGCGACCGCGACGGAACCTCCTGCTGACCGGATCGATGCCAAGAGACCCGACGCAAGGCCGATGTCTGCCGGCTTACAATACAGAGGTGCCAGGGCCAGAGCTGCTAATTCAATAAAACCAACAAAGAAAGGACCGATGATGGTCAGGGCGATTCCAGTGTTCTTCGTCTCAGGGGTCAGGGACGCTAAAGCGCCTACGAAGCCCACCATGGCGAACGTCGAGAAGATGATCCAGTACCGGACATTGCCTCCCCACTTGACGATGGCGCCAGCTACAATTTGCCCGAGTGCTGTAGAGCTCGCCACGGTGGTCTGCAACAAGTGAGCTTCGGCCCTTCACGGCAAGCTGGAGCACTTACGGAAAGCCATCCAGCGTATGTGATATCTCGCGTGTACAGTGCCTGAACTTGTTGAGGCCAGAGCAGGACAGCCGAGTAGTAAAACATCTACCACTGTCAGAATATTTTAATCATGCATGAACATGTCCCACTCACACTTGCGACGGTCGCACATATGACCAGGCTGAACCAGCCACGATTAAGGAAGAACTTGATCGGGATGGCAGGATATTTCAGGTCCGCATAGCCCTCCCAAAAGAATAGCGCCACAAGGAGACTCGCGCCGATGATCAGGCTCGAAATCGTTGCTGCTGATTTCCAGGGGTACATGTTGCCACCCCAGGAGACACCCATCAAGAGAAGGGTCAGACCCGCCGTCCATAGGAAGATCCCGAGATCTACTCATCGATTAGCTATCTATGCATCAGCAAGATATCCAGACAAACTTACAGTCAAGTTCCCTCATCAGCTGTCTTTTAGTCTTACGCTCGTGCAATAGATCGAACGTGGGCGGGTGATAGAAACAGTACAGCAAAATGATTGTTAAGCCAACGCAGATAATATTGATGTAGAAGCACCAGCGCCACCCAAGGCTAGGTGTGTTCACGAACTTGCGGGCTATCATCGAGTCAGCCCGATCGTTGTATGATGGCATGCAGAACATACCGATGATGGGACCAAAGGTGGCGATGGGCGCATTGGTTAGGAAGACAAACGAAAGCACCATGGGTCGGTATTTGTTTGGCACCAGCTCGCCGATAGCTACGTTGAAGCTGAGTTGCACAGTCTCTCCGACACCTAGGCCATGTAAGCCAATGAATCGCGCTGTACGGAAAGAGAGCGACTCACCGTATATCGCGGCACCGACGATGAGGCTGTTAACATTCGGCGCAGCTGCACAAACTATGATTCCGATTAGGGCTACACAGTTTCCGCCGATAAAAAACCATCTTCGACCGAAGAGATCTGAAAGGCGACCGAGAATGGTGTAGCAGAAAGAAAGGCCGAGGGTCCTGGCGATATTGACCCATGAGATGTAGGGGCTCGGTCCTTCGATAGTCAGTACTTCTGAATGTACTCAGTGCCAATGTCAATACACTTACCAATGTCGGCGTTGATGTACGTCAGGACATTAGTTGGCAAGATAAGAAAGATGTAGGCGGAAATTGCTGAAAGACAGAAACCCTAGATCAATTAAAAAGAGCTTTGATGTGCAATGCGCCGGCTCGACCAACCGTCATGCAGCCAATGAACCGAGGAGAGTAAAAATAGCCAGGAGGCAGGTTGTCCCCCAGAGCCTCAGAGCGTATGGAAGATGCATCATCTCGCACTACAATGCTTCCGTCACCTGCTCTCTCAACCTCATGCGCCGACTCGACTTTGTTGACATGCATTGCAAATGAATTAGTTACTTGAATTTGATTAAACAAGAGGATTCGTAGGAGCACTTGAGGAAACCAAGCACATCAGTTTATAATATACCCACGCCTCTTGTACGAAACTGTTTTGGCAATGCGAGAGACAACACAAAAGATCGAACACTGCCGTTGGTGCTTTGCTACGAGATGGAGTGAGCAAGCCACAGACTGCGGAAAAGTAGGCGACTGGTCACGAACCAGACCACTCATGCTGAGATGCCCATGCTGGGCGCCAACCCCGCCGGACCCTGGGGACTACGGGTAGAAGTCCTTCAGCGGGGAAAAGCGAAGCAGGGCATTCGTCTCACGTTGTATGAAACTGCGGGTTTTCGGGGTCCAGGATCAATCCGAGCCACACTGAATCATTAGCTCGAACGGCCGCTAATCTCTGTCTGAAATGGTGCTCTGCTAGTAATGTACCATACTGTTTTTTTGTCAATTTTCATCATGCAAGCATTGGCACATAATCGGATGTGCTGTTACGAAGCCTGAGACTAGCTAACGCGGCCGGCTGCATCAACGCATCCGCGCGTTCCACGAGGACAACATAATATTAGGCTGCACATCGCTTCATTGTGTATGGATGACTAGCTTCGGAAAAACCAGGCTCTCACAGTCTACTACCTTTCCAAATAGGCTCTCGCTTTTCTGCGAAGGCTTGTAGTCCCTCGATTATGTTTTCTCCTCTTTGCAACTCCGCAAATTCCCTCTCTAGTGTGATAGTGACAGCCCCCTCCACGGGTGCTGTTTCCCATCCTTGTCGGAGCCCAGCTCTTGTGCAGATGATGGCATCGGGACTGTTGACAGCGATCATAGTTGCGTAACGAACGGCCTCTTCGATGAGGCTTTCTCGAGACACAACCTTGTTCACTATGCCCCATGCCTCCATCTCCCTGGCCGTGACATTTCTTCCGGTCAAGGCAAATTCGCTTGCTCTCTGGAGGCCGATAGTCCGTATCAAGCGAGGTAGCGCACCTCCAATTGCTGCAATGCCTCGCTTGACTTCCGGCAGTCCAAAGACGGCCTCCTCAGCCGCAATGACCAGGTCACAATTGACCACGAACTCGCAGCCGCCCCCCATGGCGAGGCCGTTGACTGCTGCGATGACGGGTTTCTTGCCCAGGCGACGACTCAATGGGGTGAACGCGGGCGCATTGCCCATTCTCTTGCTGGGGTCAGCATTGCTGTCCATGCTGTTGTTCCAATCCTTGAGGTCGGCGCCTGCAGAGAACGCGCGGCCCGTACCAGTGATAATGGCGACGGAGAGTGTTGGCTCGTCATCAAACCACTTCCAGATGGCATCCATCTCCCACTGAGCCGCAGTTGACATAGCGTTGAGGGCCGCAGGCCGGTTCATGCGGATGAGGACGATACGAGGGGCCGGAAACGTCAGAACGAGGAAGGTTGGTGTCAATGGAGGAGGAGCCTTGGTCATATGCTGAGAGGCCATCGTGAGCGAGATGATACAAGTGGTGAAGCAATAAGTGTTCAGTTTCCGACCAAGTTCCAAGCAAGGAAGAAACTCATTGAATTAATTCGTACACATTGACACATCAGCTCCCCCCCCCCATCCAACCTTGGCATGGCGGTTACTGTTCGGCACATTTGACCAACTCGGACCCTTGCCTTCGCACTGAGCCTGCTGCCAGGACTCCGCCGAGGAGAGTGCCGAGACAGCCGTGGACTGATTTTAACCGAACTGAAGCTGTCCGAATCCTATGCGAAGGCTCATCCTCTAACCCGATGGGAACTGCTTCGCGTGGCTAACATACTCCGAGCGTGATATGGCCATCACCCTGGTCTACCCCGCATATTCCACTGACATGCATACGAAATCTGGGGGAGGGGCAACGATCGACCATGACGCTAATGAATCATGGCTGAGACGGGGACCTTTGACGGGTAATGAAAGGAAGAATGCCAGGATGGCAATCAACGACCATCCTATGTTTTCAGTGTGGATGCATTTGTCGTCTGAAAGATATGTGGGAGGCTTTACAAAGCCAGGAAGAAAACTATCAACGCATCAAATCTGACTGTCGCGAACCCCTTTCCAGACATACATCCCAACTTTTGACAGCCGTTGGAACCAACTGCCGCAAATCAGCCGCCTACTCTCTATCCACGTCCTTTCGCCAGCTGCGATGACAGCGCCCCGTACCAGGAACCCTGTACCGTCATGGATCGAAACCCCTTATCCTCACCTCACTCACTGTAACGTCGATTTCCCACGCCCTCATGTCTTACTTGTCACCATCAACCGCGCTCGGCAAATGAATTGCCTGCCAATCACTGCGACTCTTGAGCTCGGTCACTTTTGGAAGTGGTACGATGCCGAGCCTGGGCTCCGCTGCGCCGTCTTCACCGGTGCTGGTGACCAGGCCTTTTGCTCCGGTATGGATCTCAAGGAACGCGGCGACATGGTGCGGACGGGCGATATCGCCTTTGAGTACCCGTCTGGCCAATTCGCCGGCATGAGCAATCGCACGGGCAAGAAACCAATCGTCGTCGCGTGCAACGGCCACGCTCATGGTGGGGGCTTCGAGGCACTGCTGAACGCAGATGTCATCTTCGCGTCGGAGAACGCAACTTTCAGGCTGCCAGAGGTCTTGAGAGGAGTTTCGGCGTTGGCGGGGGCACTTCCAAGGGCCATGCTATTGTTCGGGAATCATCGGACAATGGATCTGATCCTGACTGGAAGGCAAATGAGTGTTGAAGAGGCTGAGCGGTGGGGGCTTGTCAAGGAGATTGTACCGCAGGGCAAGTTGCTGAGTAGAGCTTTGACCTATGCTGAAGAGCTTGCGAGTCTGAGTCCAGATAGCGTTATTATTTCGCGCCTGGCGGCAAGAGAAGTTTGGGAAACGGGGGTCAGTAGGGCCACGATGAGGGGACAGGAGTTGTGGGCGGACAAGATGTTGAGAGGACCGAACGCTGACGAAGGGTTGAATGCATACAAGGAGAAGAGACAACCTAAATGGGTGCCCTCGCACCTTTAAACAGAAATCGCAGCACCAGTTCATGCCAGGCTCAAAACATACGTGAGGTCGATCACAAATTCATTACACTAGACTTGACCTTGCAATCGTCATGATAAGTTTCCAGTTGAATTCGAGAAAATAATCCAGTAGCACAAAATGGGGGGGGGTTTCTTCACATAGAGATCAAATACGCTAAAATCATGACTTCATAAGCCTCCCTAGTCCGAGTGAGACACTGCTATGCTGGTGGAAATGCTTAGCCGCCCGTGCCTCGACCAGTTGAACTCCTCATCGTCGTCGTAAAATTACAGCTTGGTATCTCGCTGGAGTATTTTTGCGAACCCGTTGGATCTGTGGGCACTGTTTAGCACATCATCAAGTCACGTCAAGCTGATCAGCAACTTACAAGGCAACCCTTCCGTCCTCCTTGACCACCGTCTCAAATAAGATGAGGTCAAAATTACCTTCATTGCCCATTCGCCACATACGGGTCTCAAGAGTGTCTCCTGGGTAAACAACACTCTTGAATCGCGCACCAAAAGACTTGAATCTTCTTGGGTCTGACCCACCCATCTCTCGCAGCAGCCCCTGCGCCGCTATGTTCCACGTGCCAAGCCCATGCAAGATCGATCCCTTGAAACCAGCCCTCTTCCCAAACTCCTCGTCTGCGTGCATGGGATTGTAATCGCCGCACAGCCGATACAGCAAAGCTGTTGTCTCGCTCGTATGATACACATGCACGGCGTCCGGTGTCGTAGCAGGGATGCTGAATGCCGACTTCGTCGGCCCCCTCGGCCCACCGTATCCGCCCTGACCGATGCCGAATGCTGTGCTCGCCATTTTCGTGTACTCAACCCCCGTGTTGGCGTCTACAAGTGTCTGTTCCGCCTCGAGAATCATGGCGCCACCTTTATCGTAGACGCCGATGACGCGGCCGCGCACCTCAAGGTCGAGGCCGTCTGAGGAGACAGGCAGTTGCCGCAAGACCGTAATGGCGCGCTCGCCATCTACAGAACGTTGAGCATCGAACGGCGGAACGCCTGGAACGCCGCCTGTCGTTGTGCGCGCGATGAAGTCGAAGATATCCTGGTCTGTCTGCTTGAAGGCGAGGTTGATGGGGAAGGTCGGGAACGCGGCGAAGGCGGGGTGAAGCTCGTATAAGAAGTGTAGCGAGTCCTTGGGAACGCCGATCGCATTGGCCTGTCTATGGTGTTAGCTGTTCGGAACTTTTGGTGATAGTGGGGTTTCTTCATGGGCGTCCGAGTCACTAGGCCTGTACTCACGAAGAGAAGAACATCGCGCCGGTTGTAGCTGCACTTGATGGGAGGATATTTGTAGCCAGTTGCCTTTCGAAAGTCAACGTTGTCGTAACGGCCTGATGCGTTCTTGGTGGGCTCGTCGGTGGTGTTGACTGACATGATCGGTGACGTGGGATGAAGGGGGCGGTCTAGGAGCTTATGATTTCAGTGGTGGGGTGACTCAGATCGCATCGCATGATTGAGTGCCGACAGGGCCCGGAGCAAGGGAATCTGGGACGGCCTGTTATGAGCTTGCTGCTCGTGTGACTCCGGCTTCCCCAGAGTAGCCTCGGTTGCATGTCCCGCTGGCTCGGTCCCCCATCCCCGGGCATTCAACGGGTTTAACGCAAGGGGATTGAACCGGATAACGGTCACCAGGGGGGGAGGCATTATAGCGTCAGGTGGTCGGTCTGCTTTCGTGCTAAAGACAACCGAGGCCGGTAGTGCCATCTATTGTTCTCACTTCAGCACTCGCGGTGCTCAATGTCGGCGTGTCTGAACGGGCAATCTCGGGTCGTGTCAGTCTGCTTTCGATGTGATGCACTAATTGAGGCGCCTCACGCATAAAATTTGGGCCGACTGGTGTCTTTGAGTTCCTTGTCGTGTTGGCTGGCTCTAGGTTCACAGTTTTGGCCGGCCGGCATTGGCCGCTAACATCTTCCTCCGCTGTGCTTCATTCTGGACAAGCTCAGTTGGCATCTCGATGACTCGGGCCCTGACAAACTCGCCCATACTTTTGGCAAATCCGTCGAGCACATTGCTGCTGCTCACTCCGTCCTGTAAAATGCCCTTGATGACAAAGTGCACCGCCTGCAAGTTGACAAACTCGCACCTCTCGATATGATACCTATCGTCCCAGTCATCCCCTAGCAATTCCTTGACACGTTGGCTTGTCAAGTAGCCTTGAAGCCATGCATATGCACTTTCATCTCTGACCCAGAAACCGATGTTCGCGTTTCCTCCTTTGTCACCGCTTCTTGCCAAAACGAGGTCTCCCAGCGGTCGTCGCGTCATCCCGGGAGGGAAGATCTTGGCCATCATTGAGGACGACGCGGCACTTTTCGGCTCATCAGTCGGCTGTGTCGGGGCTTGAACACAGTCCTTTGCGTCTCTCGCAGGTATTAATACGGCATCTTTCTTTCCGTCGATGAAATGCACCGCCATTGGGACCTTATCCTGCTGCACCAACGCCGGAAAGTACTTGACATACGGCCTTGGTACCAAGGTCCGCCAATCCATACCCGCGTGGAATCCGCAGAAACCTTGAAGACCGTTGTAGAACACGGCGCGCTTGAAGTCGTCAAAGGCCTCAGCCCGAGAGCCCTGCGCAAAGATGCGGAACTGCACGGTTGCAGCTGCTTGCGAGCGCGGATCATGCTGTGCAGTGCCGTACTTTTCAATCGTGAATGTCGTAAAGGCGGATCGATCAATGGTCTTGAGGACTTGGGTTTTGAGTACATTGAACTTGAAATCCGTGTCAAGTCCTGCAGCATAGATAGAGATCTCAGCTTGGAAGCCCCCAAGTAGACACACCGCAAGCTTGGCTGTCAGCGGCGGCGGAAGGCCTTTGATGTTGCTGAGACGTACGCGGTCAGTGCCGACTTGCGTGAGTTTGACACCGTGATTGTTAGCAATGACATCAGGGTTGAGGTATATTGGCCCTTGGATCTCGTACAACAGTTGTGCTTTGCATGTGTCGACAGTGACAATGCCGTTTGAGCCTTCAGGCTTTGTGATAACGACACCACCTTCGCTGTCGATCTCGGCAATCGGCCACCCCAATCTCTGCATGTCCAGGAGTTCGCGTTGACCGCAATAGTTGCCGCCCGTGACGTATGGACCGCATTCAATGAGATGACCAGCCATGAGGCTGCCGGCCAACGCATTATAGTCTGTTGCCTTCCACCCGTGCCACCAGGCCGCGAGGCCCATAACCGGTGAAGCATCTGTGCATCTCCCGCATATGACAATGTCCGCACCTTCGGCCAGAGCCCTGACGATGCCAGCATATCCAGTGTAGACATTCGCAGCCAGCAACTTCTCGTTCTCAAGACGTAGCTGCACGCCTGGTTGATCCAGGTGAGGAATTGTCCCAAAGCCGCCACTGCGAACTTTCTCTGTAACATCATCGCCGCTTACCCACGCAATCTTCAAGTTGTGGATTCCGATACTCTGAAGATAGGCGTCTGTCTTCTCCGCCAGACCTCGGGGGTTGAGCGCTCCACCATCGTGCACAATCTTGATACGCTTCTTGGCGACGAGTCGCGCTGCATCACCGTTGTGCCAGGCAATCTGCTCAAGAAAATTCGGTTCATAGCCTGACGCAGGATCTTTCTGAAGCTCTATGGCTTTCCACGCGATGTTGAACTCAGCAAGGTAGTCGGCAGTGATGGCGTCGACCTGACCATGCTTCGCGAGGCGATATATCTGGTCAATGCCATCATTAATTGCCCCAGAGCAGTTGCCGATGCGAATGGGTCGATGGAACATGGTGGCAATTTCGATGATCTCAGAGGAGAGTTTGCTGACTCCCGAGTCTTGTTGTGACAGGAGCCATAAATCGTTCGCGGTCTCCGTGTCGTGTCATGGAAGCACCTTTCGAGCGCGAGGTTCGCAAGGCCACTACGGATGCATTGCCTTCAAGCCAACTACTAGAGTGATCCTTGGCCGCCGCACACGCCTTGGGTGGCGCCTTCGTCAGTTGTGACAGTGGTGCGGAGTCGCTTTTCCATGGTCATCAGACAACGAAAGGGGGTTAAGAGGCGTGAACGCGGGGTAGCACTAATGATTCAGAATGGCACCTGGAGATCACCCAGGGTCTCTTGTGCAGAAACCCTGATTCTGCTATGGCGAGGAATATGACTGAGTATCGGGTCAAAGGATTATTGGCATGGTTAGCTAGCTGCCGGGGAATTGTTCCGTGCCTGTCCTGCATCACGGCTGTCATCAACCTCTGATCATCTTTGGTTTCTAATGGTAAGAGTCCAACGAAAGGCTGTGTCAGAGGCCGTGGCTAACTTTTGCCCCTGGATGCCATTGCGACAATACCTACATTCACCACATACATATCTTCCTTGAGTAGCATGCTCCGGCACTGATTGTAATTAATCAACAGTGCATTTAATCTGTCAAAATGAAAATCTACAAGTCATCCGACATCAACATTCCCAGGGACCTCAATCTTACTGAGCTATTGCACACCACAGCTTTTCCCATTCCCGAATCACACCTCATTGCATCCGATAGCCTCACCAACAGAAGTACGACTCTGGGGGAGCTCCGAGATCGAGCTGGTCGTCTCGCAAAAGGGCTGTACGACCAATTGAACCCACCAGACCAAGCACGCTGGGCCATCGTGCTACCAAACAGCGTAGACTTTCTCGAGATATTCCATGCTATCCTGTGGACCGGTGGTGTAGTCTGTCCTGTAAATCATGCCTTACGGTATTCAGAAATAGGTCAAGGGCTCGCAGTCGCCCGCCCGCATTTTGTTGTTGCATATGGGGCTGTTGTCCATGTGGTCGAACAGGCTCTCGATTTCGCCGCCGAGATACTCGTCAAAGAAAAGGGGAGTTGGACTCGGCCTCGTGTAATTTCTATCGTTCTTCCTGCTCCCGGACTGAAACACATATCGTCCGATTTTATCGCCGCGACGCGTCTTCCGGTTCCGCACTTCGACGATACGTCAATCCGTCTTGCCTCCATCCATCTCTCCTCGGGAACAACAGGTCAGCCCAAAGGCGTCGAGCTCACTCACCAAAACTTTGTCGCAAACGTCTTGCAGCTTCTCGCCTTCGATACGCCGGGGGGGCACAAGATGTTCCATCCGGCCGCGCGCACGGTTGCCTTCACGCCATGGGCCCATATTGCGAACACAACAGCGCCACTGTTCCTCGGGCCTTACGCAGGCATGCTTCACCATGCGATGCCAATTTACAACTTGGAGCAATTCGCCAGACTGGTTGGCTCCGTCCAAGCCACGTCGTTCCAGGGCGTTCCAAGTGTTGTCCTGGCCTTGGCAGACTCGGACGTGACAGCGAAATACGACTTCTCCGCTGCACGCGTCATAGCTGTTGGCGGTGCGCCGCTCAAGAAAGCTCAGCTCGAGAAGCTCCTGGCTCGAGCGCCATGGCGGCTTTGTCAAGCCTATGGCATGACGGAAGCAGCCGGATACGTCGCTTATCAGGAATATGACGAGGTTCTATATGACGGATGCACAGGTAAGTTGTTGCCCGGAATCGAGGCGTGTCTCAAACAGGAGGGAGGGGTGGAAGATGTGCCAGATGGGGAAACAGGAGAACTGTGGCTGCGTGGACCCAATATTTCGAGAGCATATGCATTCGATGCTGAGGCAAACGAACGGGCCTTTCCGATGCCAGGGTGGTACAACACTGGCGACGTGTGCCGCATAGATGAGCAAGGAAGAGTATCCATTGTTGGGCGAACTAAGGACCTTATCAAGTATAAGGGATTCCAAGTGAGCCCTGCAGAGCTTGAGGTGTATGTGAACTCCCACCCGCTGGTAGCTGAGGGGGGTGTTGGGGCGCTTTGGGATGATGGCCAACTCACGGAGTTGCCCGCAGCATGGGTGGTACTCAAGGATACAGAAAATCTCTTGTCTGAAGAGGAGGAACAACAAGTGTTGAGAGACGTGCAATTTGTTGTCGATGGTCAAGTCAGCGGATACAAAAAGCTTCGCGGCGGGGTATGGCTCGTTGACAAACTACCCAAGAACGCTACAGGCAAGATTTTGAGGAAAAAGCTGATTCACATGACTGATGGAATGTGTTCGTTAAAGTTAGGAAACCGACACATCACTTCCAAGTTATAGATAATCAATCATAGCCACGTACTTGCATTGTCTGCTTCCCAGTGCTACATATGGATGGCCCTTGAGCGCCCAAATAGGTTCATGATGCTGCCCTTTGGGTCACTTTCGAGAATGTAAGATTTGGCATATATTCTGTTGGTAGTCGATGGCTGCTCTACTTCCCAATCATTTGCTCAGCGCATTGCCAGATATCCTAAGGTGACGTAACATGTGTGTGATGACGACAGCCTAGTCTTTGACTCCCGTTCTTAAGGTAAAAGCCATCGATGAAAGGCAATGGTTTTTCAAGTGGTACGTTGCCAAACCAGCGTCGATATCTGATGACTAGCACGTCTTTTTCGGGGTTAAGCATTGGCATACATTCATCGTATCTACAGAGGCCCAAACTTCGGCATAGAACTACAGAACGATTGATGCGGTCAAGTATCATTGTGGGTAGGGTATGGGAGGATGACGCCATTTGTTTGCCCGTGAGATGGTGCCAGCCGGGTAAGCAAATGCGAGAGGTTTGGAGAATTGCGGGGAATATTGCATCAACCAGGCCTCTTAAACTACATGGCATCCTGTGGAGCGGAGTTCGTAGGAGCGGGAAGAAAGAAAACTTGGAATAATTCAACAATAATTGCACGATGGCCACCCTCAGCAAGCGCAAGTTTGTCATCGCGATTATGCCAACAGAGTCAGTGGCGAAACGCGACAAGGCAAGCACCTACCCTACAGGCCTTGCTCCTACAAAGAAGGCATACCCTCTGACCATGACAGTTTATCAACAAACTAGCCAAATACGCCCATGAGGCCCAGGTAAACGAAGATGGGACGCTGAAATATGCCGTTCTTACATCGCGCGACATTGCTAGGGAGACAGACATCTGGGTGGTTGAGGAGTGCGTTCGCGCCCAAGCCACAACCAAGCAGGCAATATCACTGACAGAATATGCGAAGATACGTTAACGAGGCTGCTTTCGACCACCACATGTCTCTTCCCTCTGTCAACGCCATGCGGGCCTGGATAGGTGAAAACGTTGGACCAAAGCCTCCGACGATGCATATCCTCACGTACCCATCAGATTCATTTCAATTCTCGCGGCAACAGGTCAATGAGCATACCGACCCTTGGATCATCATCGCGGAACTCAATTACATGGTTGGAGGTGTTGGGACGTCCCTTCCATATTGGCAGGCTGTTGTGGATCAAGGCCGCGAGGAGGAAGTGGGCACTTTGGTTTACGGCATATTGAAGGATGAAGGCACTGTTGAAAGGTTGTTCACAATGGAGGCCTATGAGAGCGAGGCATACCTGAAAGATATCCATGTCAAAAGTGATGCTATCGCGGCAAGCATCAGGGACACGAAACATTTGCGCACTAGCATCGAATGGTCATTTCTCAGGCTGGTGGCAGGTTTCTTACACAAGTAGATGAGAGAAAAGTAGAAGAGCCATAGTCACCAATTCACTCCCTGCACCTCGTTTAAGGAAGGCCCTCAAGAGCTTTGTGTGGTCTTCGGTCCACTCAATCTCGCCATCATTATTTTGAAGACAGTACTACCTGCCAGCTGCCGTTTGATAGAAGAGAAGACCAGGCTCGTGATCGACAAGCAACTGATTCATTCCGACGAGATCAGGGTTCAACCGAGTCAAAGGTTGATGTGGAGTCAACTTAGGGCGATCGAGGTAAATCTTCCCCCGAAGCCCGGGAACGATACCCGCCAGCACCCCAAATACCTTTTGACGGGTACTGAATCATTAGTACACTACAGCGAGACACGCACGATTCAGCAGTGTTTCCCCGCTACTCGGGGGCACCCTTACGAATGGATACGAATCACAGGGCTCAATATAAATGGTTCGGATGTCGAGTATTTATGTACTAGATCGTGAGCCACTATCGCTTGTATGTATTTAAATTCCCAAAACTTGCAATAGAACCGGATCAAAAACATCAATTGAAAGCTGCAATACAATCACTCCGGATTACATAATTTGATTCACGAATTCCACGCAATGGCACCAAGCGCAACCAACAATGGCCATCGTGAGACAAACGGGCATGTTGCCAAGCGGCCCATCAACATCGCAGGTTGCTCTGGAGGTCAGTCTCGTTTATCAGAAGTTCGATGTGAGAAACCAGCCCTAACACCCTCAGGTGTCTACGATCGCAAAAGAGCTATTCATGACATGGCAAAGAATGAAGACGTTGATGTCATTACCGGCGATTGGATGTCTGAGTGTAATATGACTCTCCGCGGCTCCGACAAGCGTGACAGACTCGCCCAGAAAAAGATGTCTTCTGGCTCGACCGTCGTCGCCAAGGGATACGAGCCGTACTTTTTGGACGAATTGGACCCTGCGATTCCTCATCTCGCGAGCCGGGGAATTAAAATTGCTGTCAACGCCGGAGCAAGTGACGTCCATGGCCTCGCTTTGGCTGTCAAGGAGCTGATCATGAAACACGGCGTCGACCTGAAGGTTGGCGTGGTGGATGGCGATGATGTGACTGACGCTGTCCTGGATCTGTATCAAAAGGGTGAAATGCCATACCTCATTTCACATGTCAAAACAAATACTAACAAGTTGAAGGCGAAACGTTTCCCAATCTCCCTGCGAATAAACCTATCCAAGAGTGGGGGTTCGACCCCGTTTGTGCACAATGCTATCTCGGTGGCACAGGCATTGCCGAATGCTTCAGAAATGGCGCAGACATCGTACTTTGTGGACGGGTCGCAGATGCTTCAGTGACAGTCGGTGCTGCTATGTGGTGGCATGGCTGGACACGCGAAAACTTGACCGAGCTGGCGGGTGCGCTAATGATTGGACATATCATCGAGTGCAGCACCTATGCCACAGGCGGCTACTACTCTGGTTTCAAGGACCTGGAGGGTAAGGACACGGATATGGGATGTAAGTTTTGTTTACTGGCCATTTGACCATCGCTGACATGTGCGAGATCCCATCGCTGCCATCGACGAAAAAGGAGAGGCCATTATCACCATGGAGAAAGGCAAACATGGTCTGGTCAATACGCAGACTGTCGCTAGTCAGCTCCTGTACGAGATTCAGGGACCTTTGTATTACAACTCGGATGTCACAGCCTCCATCGAAGACATGTATCTCCAGGAAATCGGCGAGAATGCCGTGCACGTCTCAGGCGTGAAGGGTTTACCACCTCCTTCTACGACGAAAGGTAAATCATGCGTTGGCAGGATCAGAACATGACTAACTTGAGCAGTCGGTATCACAGCCAAGGGCGGCTGGCAAGCCGAGTTTCACTTCTACCTAACGGGACTTGATATTGCTGAGAAAGCCGCAATGGTTGAGCGCCAGACTAGGGCACTCATGGGTCACCATATCAAGCGCTTCTCCTGTTTAAAATTCATGGTGGCCGGAAATGTCCCCTCTGATCCGCAATCTCAGGAAGAAGCCACTGTGATATGCGAATTTTCGCCCAGACGCGCGACCCGGATCTGCTTTCGGGAAATAACTTTGTCGATTCGGATCGTGGCTCCTTCGCGCGATTTTGTATCGAGAACCTTCTTCAGGGTTATCCGGGTAGCACAATGGCGCCAGACATGCGCACAGCCATCGGAAGGCCATTTTTTGAATACTGGGTCAGCCTGCTGCCACAAAAATTCGTGAATGAGACGGTGCATCTGCCAGACGGTAGGGTCCTGGACATCCCGTCACCGGTGGTGACAAGAGAGTATGCGCGCGAGCAACCCAGTTACGAGACCGAGTCCCCTGCCAACCTTGAGGATTTTGGGCCGACGACAAGGGGCCCCATCGGCTGGGTGGCCATGGGACGTTCTGGCGACAAGAGTTCCAATTGCAACATGGGCCTATTTGTTCGCCACGACGACGAATGGAATTGGCTGAGGACCATCATGACCACTAAACAGTTGAGAAGTATGTTGGGTAAGGATGATGTTGGAAACCAGATCGATCGATGTGAGTTCCCTAACATTCGAGCGGTTCACTTCTTGTTGAAGGATCATCTGGACCGTGGTTTCAACTCCACCAGCAGCTTTGACAGCCTAGGGAAGAACCTGTGCGAATATATTCGGGCGAAGCATGTAGATATTCCAAACATGTTCTTGGAGCGAGGAAGGATTTAGCAGGCTATGAAGTATTGAATGAGTTTCAGAAGCAAGAAATCCCTATTCATACATGACCAATCAAGGCGAGCTTGGCCACCCGTAAATGACAACGCCGGCACTGCATCCCACAATGTTCTTTCCTTATTGCCATCGATGCAGTGATCATGTATTCTCGCAATTTAATTTTACACATGAGCCTCCTAAAGTTTATCCTAGCTCTGGACTTCACAAGGTTTTCCCGGTGAAATGTTCAATTTTGATCTTCCCATGACATAGGAATGGCCGCAGATTTCTTTAAAACGCAGTGTCCTAGACCTTTCATCATGCTGGAGAGCTCGGCACAGGCAACGACAACTGAGATACCCAAAACCATCATCATGTACAGTGCTATAATCTTTGGCATTGCTGCTGCTGTGTTCGTGGCGCCCGAGTCTACACTGGCGTCCCTGACGTCCGGTGACCAAATTGCGCGCGTCCAGCTTGGCCCTAGCGACCTCCGTCATCTCAATACTGTAGCAAGAGCCAGGATCCTTCGGGTGAGCACCGCAGGACTTGCTGGTATCGTTCCGCGTTAACATCTGCAGCCTAATAGGTCCTTCTTCGACTTGACGGATCTCATTGACCCTTCGCTAGCAGACCTCCAAGATGTGGACCAGGACTACCCTACGAGGATGGTTCAACAGCGAGAGACGCGGAACCTCATCCGCGGCATTGACATGGAGAGAATCGCCAACAACATGGAGGCTTTGGTCACGTTTCAGAACCGATATTACCAATCGGAGCATGGTGTCGCTGCCTCGGAGTGGATCTACCAGGAGATCAAAAGGTTACCCGGCGTGATGAAATTGGGTCGCTTTAGGCACAGCTGGCCACAGAACAGCATCGAAATACAGATCTCAGAAGGGAGAAGCAAGAAGAGAAAGACTATCATTGTCGGAGCTCATCTCGATGCAAGCAACAAGTTTGTCGCAGAGAGCGAGCGGGATACAGCAAGAGCTCCCGGTGCAAGTAAGTCTGATGCCACCCCAAAAAGATTGAATACTGAGCGGCTGCAGACAGCAATGCATCAGGCGTCGTTGTTCTTCTCGAGGCCTTAAACCTCCTTCTACGTAATCACAAACTTTCGGACTTCAAGAATCGTGTTGTTTTTCAATTCTACGCTGCTGGAGACGCCGGGCTGAAGGGCAGCCTGGACATCTTTCAGCAGTACAAGAACCAAAACATATCAGTCGCCGCCATGTTGAATCAAGACATGGCGGGATCCTTCCTGTCGGAACAGAGCCTACCAGACTATTTCAACATCGTCAGCACAGGCACCTACGATCCTCTAAATGGCTTTCTAAAGCGAGTGATTCGCGAGGTAAGATGTATGATAGAACCCTCACAACGTAGAGCTGACCAACGCAGTACTGTTCTATCTTCTGGGTCGAGACGGGGGGTGGCTTTGCAGGCTCTGATCATGCTGCCGCAACAAAGTATGGATATCCTGCTGCTCATGTCTCTGACAGTGCCTTTATACAGAACCCATGGAAGGGCTCTGAGTCAGATACCCTGGATAAGATTCGTATTAGCCACCTCGTTGAACACGTCAAGCTCGTCCTCGGATATGTGTTTGAGCTTGGGTTCGCGGACCTCTGACGTAAAGGAAAAGGCCAAATCCTCACAATAACAATATCGCTGAAAGAATAAACATTCTCTACAGAAGAATTCCTTAGTTGTTTGGTGGGTATTCTGAAAGATTAGACTCTGGTGGAGGGTGGGGCAAGCTGGTGCGAGACCGAAACCTATGTGAGTCGCGGTGTTAGGATGTGATGATTTGACTATCTCCTGATCATAGAAAGGCGATTGCACATACCATCACTGTCCTCGGTGAATATGACACTTTCATGCTGCAATTGAATGTTTACGGCTTTCAAAGATATCGCAATTGTTTGTTACATGTTTCTTCTGCTGATTCTGGAGGATGTGATACTAAGACCCAATCTTGATTACAGCTTCACTACAAACTCACTTGCACACAATATCTACATCTGCCCACGGCGAGATCAAAAGGCAGATCTCTCATGGTGTGTGTTTGGCATGTAGTTTTAAATGCAAGATAGCGTAAAGGCAGCCGTTTGAAATGCTGTTGGTTCTTCTCTCAGATAGGTGGCTTAGACGAACATCATGGGACTGAATTGAATATCCGTGGAAGCAAGATAATTCACAAGTATTCGAGCGTGTGTCTGCGACAATAATGTCTCGTTCAAACATTTCCCTGGAGTATGGGCGAGGATCGTGAAAAATGACTAATCGCAACTTATATGTGGGTGAAGTATAAAAGGGTGGAGATTTCCTCCATTCGTGTGCTCGCTATTCAGTCACCTCCTAAAAAAGCATTTGCGCAAGTCAGATCAGCGCGATGAAATTGTAATTGATCCTCAAACATTCTGTCTCGAATTCAGTAGTTCAAGTGGCAAAAGTAGACGACCAGGACAAGATTCGAACTTGCGCCTCCGGAGAGATACCCTTAGCAGGGGTACGTGTTAACCACTCCACCACCTGGCCAATACATGATCCAATGGATTGATGACAACCCCAGATTCTACAGGTGTTCATATTGTTTGATAACCGAGGCAAGCCCTAAGTCAAGTCTTTTGGGCGGGGTGAGTGGAGGGGTCAAGTGGATTTCGTTCTGCGCGATATGCAGGGCGAAAGTTCTTAGGACCAGGCGGTGGAGCAATGTCTTCCATGAACGGCTACAGCCATGCAACCCTACAAATCAAATGTATCGGTACTCTGCAAAATGCAGACTTATTGCAGCGGCTTTGAGTGAGTTCTCGCGCCGCGTGATATTTAAGGCTCTTTTTTCATTGCTATGCCAGAGTATTAGAGCGATTGGGTGAGAATGGTGAGGGCGTCTTCATGAGTGATATCCACTGTTGAATATCAGGTATACGGTAGGAACTCGTGTGAGATCTAGCCCTCAGCACCTAGGAAGACCCTATGTAGCCTTTACAGTCCTGGCCTACCTTGCTCCTTGACTCTGTAACTGCCTCTTGGCACAGTTGCCGTACTCCAGCCCAGGGCTTTACTCCCTAGACATTATAGATGGTGCATTTTCTCAACAGGGACCTTGGCCTTTAAGTTGTTCTGCCATACCAAGCTTTTTGTCGTTATACCATCAAAGCGGTGGAACGAGCAGAGCAAACCCGTCTTCAGTAAGTGATATCCGTAGTCAACTCATACTTATGGGGCGAGGATGCCCCTGATTTCTGACCCTCCGCAGTCCTCATGTCCGCACTCCCTTGGTCTCAGGCTTCTGAAAAAGCCTTCCAAGCCCCCCTGATACCTGACTCAGTAGGTGCCTCTTGACAGATAATTCTTCACTAGATGACTACACGGACACTGTTGGTTCCCACAACAGCCAGGAATACAAACATGTCATGCCTGTAGGCCATGTTTCTTCCAGTCGCATGCGTGGCGGGATATGCAAAATAAGGGTTACGAGGGCGAGATAGAGCTCACATAACGACAGGCTGGAGCCTAAGAAGCCCCGGACCCGAGTTTCTGATAGTAGGAGCACCTAAAGGACAATGCCTGTGACATACCTTTTCAGTGCACTTCCTATGTCCTCTGGTCAACGAAAAAGAACTCTATATACCTCCTGCCGGACCTCGTTCTGCTCATTGAGCCATCTTCTGGTAGAAAGCACGGATCTCTTCATATTGCCTCGTCGTGAATAGTGATGGCTTCCGACATACCGATCGCGAAAGCTCGAGGCACGACCAGCTCAACCGACTTTTGTTCAAACTCGCCTCGATACAAGAGGTTCTCTTGCGTTTGAAGGCGTGCTGTGTGACTTGAGACCTCATACTATAGTCACAGCCCTTCCTTGACACCCGCCCCCAGATAAGGTGGCTTCTCTAATACCGTCCACGTAGGAGGAGCTTGTTGATATTGAACGACCTGAAGTAGGTCTTGTCTCAGAGTTGAAAGAAGTTCCTGTCTATCCATGGGAGCTATGTAATGACGGCCAAGGCCCAACTGGTTGTCTCGGTTTCAGCTACGACGGCTGAAATAGTCTCACTGGCGAGTCGCTGCAGCATTTTCTCGCTTTCCGAAAGTTTCGATTGGAGAAATCTGGCACGGACTGTTGCACGCTTATACTGGATACCGGCGCAACGATCAGACTATGTCCCATGGACGCGGTTGGGGATCTCGATATACACGTCCGAATGAGCAGTGCCACAACTTCCGGGAAATTACCAACACAACATTCGCCCCAGGCAGTTGCTGAGCCTGTACATGGAAACAATCGATACACATAAACTGACTTTGATTTTCGCCTGCCGGAGGTTTGGCCTTCAAGCTTGCTATGACATACTCCATTTCTCGAGTACCTGGGGCAGATCAAAGCAGATACACATGTTTTTAAATGCAGGCCTCGCGACAGCGGATCAAGCTTCAAGCTGACTGACAAACACACTACAAAGCAACAAATATTGATGCCAGAGCATTAATTGAAAGCATTGGGGTATCTCAATTGTCTATGTAAAGAAAAGGCTGCAACACAATCCCTGCCTACCTCCTCGTTGCCCGGCCCAGGTGCTAAGACCTAAGCAAGACCCGTGTATCCAAAACAAAGTTCAACTTCGTTATCGTCCCTCCATCAGAAGACATTGAGATCGATTATCGTATCCGGGCCGAGGAGTGGTTGGTTGGCCTGGCCTCAGTACATCTCGTTGGAAGGAGGGCCAGCGTAGTTCTTGTGGCCCCAGATGACGTACCACACGGCCGAGACCAGAGTTGCAAAGACAAAGACGACGGGGGCGTAGTTGACCGTGGTCAGAGTGACAGGGATGGTGGCAGGCATGCAGAAGAGGGGCATGGCGAGGGCGGACCAAGCTGGACAGTGTTAGCATTGCGAAGGGGAAGATGTATTGGAAACAGGCACGTGGCACATACCGAGAGCAATGATGTTGGCAGCAACGCCAAACTTGCCGAGGCTGAACTTGGCGTCCTTGACAGCACGGCGGCCGGTGAACAAGTTGATGGCAATGGGAGTGGCGTAAGCGGCAGTCAGAGAAATGACACCGACACCAGAGAAGGCGTTGAAGGCAGCCGATGAGCCGAACCACAGAAGGCCAAGCAGGATCTGAACGACCATCGAGAGCATCATGGCGTTGAAAGGAACATCGAGCTTAGGGTGGATGGTCTTCCACCAGCGGGAGCCCGGAATGGCGCCGTCACGGGCGAAAGCCCATGTGCAGCGAGAGGCAGCGGTGGTGCAGCCAATGCCGCAAAGGAGCGCGAGGACAAGGAGAGGCACGCAGAGGCCGATAGCCGCACCAGGGGAGCCGACGGCGGACTTGATGATGGCGGGCACGGGCTGCTGGGCGAGGACGAGCTCGCTGATGTCGGGCATGACGAAGACGAGGGGAATGAGGAAGAGGAGGCCAGCGAAAGTGTTGATGAAGATGGTGGCAACCATGGCCTTGGGAACCTGGGTTGAGGGGTCGCGAACCTCCTCGCACATGGAAATGATCATGCCCGTAGACGAGGTGGCGTAACCGGCGTGGAGAAGACCGACCATGAAAGCCCAGCCATCAGGCCATCCGGAGGTGGGCTCGAAGTGGGTGAAGACGAATTCAGCATCGCGACGACCGCCCTTGGCCATGACAAGAACAGTGATGATAATGGCAAGGACACCAGCGAAGGTCCAGAAGACGGCGGCAGTCTGAGGGCAGGTTAGTGAAATGCATCAACCAAAAGCTAAGACAGCTGATATGGCGTGATAGGCGAGGAACATACGTCAAGGACGGGAAGCCAACGGTTGCCGAGGGCTGACACGAGGTTGCAAAGAATCGTGATACCCAAGAAAATCAGGTACAGCTGATAGTTCTCGTACTGGAAGATACCGACACCAGGTTCGGACTCGAACACGTTGATGCAGCCGACAAAGAACAAGCTGGTGCCGAAGTTAACGGCCAGAGTGATGGTAATGTTGCCCACGACATAAGCCCAACCACAGATCCAACTGGCAACACGACGCCAAGAAGCGGGTGCGAGCATGAAGGCCTGGTAGTAGACACCTGGTCACGAGCAGTCAGCAATGATCACGATTGGAAGCGCTCGATAAAAGGCGGCATTGAATCGCCCACAACACGAGCACTCAACGAAGCGATTACGGAGGGAGAGTTAGTACCTCCGGCAGTGGGATAAACACTGGTGATCTCTCCGAGAGAGGCAGCGACACAGACGATGATCATGGAAACAGCGAGCCAGCCCCAAATGATAGTGACGGGACCACCACCGACAAGAGGGTAGTAAAGCGTGGTAGAGAGACCGTAGGGGATAGAGGCGAGGACGAAGGACATGAAGGCAACCTGCTTGGTGGAGCGGTTGCGCGACAGCTCAGGCTTGTAGCCGAGAGACTCGAGGACGTTGTCGGCGGTGCCGTCGACGCCCGAGACGCGGCGGTGCATGTCGAAAGAGCTCTTTTTGCCGCCGTTGGTGCCGTTCTCGTAACCGGAGGAATACATGTCACGACCATATTGATCGGCGTATGGGTCGCGAGCGCCCGGGTCCTGAGAGAGGACGTGAGACATGGTGAATGGTGACGACTGGATTGGCCTGGGTGAGATGGTGGTGTGTCGCTCTGTAGAGGGAGAGGAGACAAAGAGACGATACACGAGCTCAGCTCTGCGTGTCAATTGGCATGCGGCAGGCTGTTGTCGAAGGGAGGGATGGGCGATCGAAGGAGGGGAGGGGCTGTCGATGTCGGCTCGAAATGTGATGGGGAAGAGGAGAGGAATGGGCTTGAGTAGCGAGGATGGGCAAGGCGGAGATGATAAGCAAACAGACTCTGCGTCTCGGGTTGACAAGCACCTCAAGCTGCACACTACGTCGGGAACGGTAGCAGAGAGGTGGGCGAAATGACGTCCGAGGATCACGGCGCACCGACTGGGCGAGATGGGGCATAGGTCGGACGCTCGGCAGCATGATGGAGCCAGGGTGGACATGCAGGACCGAGTCGGCAAGGCCGTGATCCTTGTGGTACGGCAGCCTAGATGGGGAAGCTTGGGATAGGCTTGGCTTTCAAGCTATCCTGAAAGGCGACCCTCCCCCTCGTTCAGATATGAAGCAGGCCAGAGGAGGCTATACCCTTTGAGGCATCAAGGCCCGCCGACTGCTGTAGCCTGCGTCGCGATACGTCGCAATGATAGGACGGTTGGTCTCAATGGCGCCGAGCTGACGGGAAAGCTGAGCCCAGGATGGCACGAAGGGTGTCTCTTTGGGTTGTCTGGCTGGCTGACCAGAGCCAACGTGACCTGGGTAACACGTTACCAGCCAGGTGGTTTGTAGACAAACGGAAAAAAACTCAATCGCTTGCAGCTAGACTCTTCTTCGATTGTATGGATTTCGGATGAGGCTTTACTATGAGAGCATCTCTGTTTACCTATGCTCGGCCTGGGCTCGAGACCCCTGCCAGTCACACCTGCTCGCCTTCAGGTTCGGCCTTGGTACCATTCCAAGACAGTCAACACGAGCGTGCCTTGAGCGCCAGGCATCTTTCTCGCATGAAGCGTGTCTCGTCTTGTTCACAGCCCGTCGCAAAGCGACTGAATCGTGCGCGCAGTATCAGGACCGGGGGCCACGCGCAAGGTTCTGGTAGCGTGCCATCCGTTTGATGAAGAGTTTTAGCACGCTGCTGATTGGCGACAGACGCTCTAGCTTGGAGAGGCGAGGGAAATGGGACTTGCCACAATGCCAATTGACTCCCTGTCCGGCGGGTCGCGATCAGCTGCTCTCCTACTGCAAGCGACCTAGCTCCCTGCCTTAGCGACTCGGTGGTTGCATCAAGCCAAGGGACATTAAGTACGTAAGAGTATCCTAGGCGCATGTTTTGCCTGTTGAAAGACTTCAGGGAGACTCAGGGGTTCTCTGGTGGGTGGACCACGCGTGAGAATGTGTATGACGTACAATTTGAATCCGCGGGGCCTTACTCTCGTTCGCTTGCTTCCATATTGGCGCGGCGCCCAAGACCCATCTCCTGTCAGAAAAAGCACATGCTGTTGGTGGTTGCCAAATGGCGAGAGTCTTGGGAACACGATGGCCACTGGGGCCCCCGCGATATCACAAAAAGGGGCCCACCAGCTGCGACGCCTTTCCTAAGTGAGAAGAGCCCGGCGCCTCATCTTGTTCATCGGATTCATCAATTTCATCGAACACTTGTCGAAGATGTTGGTTGTTCAAGCTTCAATTTGTTCGGCCTTGAGCATCGACATCGGGGCTGTCCCCGAACCATTATGGCGCCAACCATGCACCTTGACCAGGCTGTCCCAGGCCCTGCATGCCGCCACCAGGTCGCGCCCCAGGCATGTGCCACGAGTCTGTGCCGCCATTTATACTCTGTGCGTTGCATCTTGGCTTCTGCCCGGTCCGCGTGAGGCTTGCTCTGCTGCGACCCCCTAAAAGCGCTGATCCGTGTTCGTCGGTGCAGCCTTCCATCGTGGTTCGAGAATCCTGTCACCTGTCCCAAAGGGGACCCTTAAATATGTCGATCAGGGTGTATTGCATCCCATGTTCTTCTTCTTCTTCTTCTTCTTCTTCCTTAAGTCTGCCTTCACTGCGCTCTCCACATGCAACTGCCTTGTCAATCCAGGAGATGAACTTTCGGCGACGGGGATGTGCCCCTCATCCATCGGAACTGCATGATACTTGTCAGGGGATTTTCCCAGTGTGTTGCAGCATGTGCAGCCTTGGCTCCTAGCGCGTTTGCCGGGGCAGCCAGCCGGCAAGCCTCGTTGCCTCGGTGGCCCGTGATGGTCACCATTCAACACAGCATCTGCTATCGCTTGGCATTGGGGAACGGTAGAGAAGGGGACTGGAAGGGATGGGGGGGGGCACATGAATACAACGTCCCACTGCCGCGCGACGGGACAGTAGCGGACGTTGGTGCGGCTGGCCATTGGATCGTACAAATCTGCAACCTCGTGTTGGTTGGCTCGAAACCCAGTAATCATGCGGCTCGGGGTTTCTCTTTCGGGTCTCCAATGCTTCCTACTGTTTCCCCCTTTCCGTCCACTCATCTCACCGGCAAGGGCCAAACCTTGGCGGGTCCTGGTACTTGACTCGAACATTTGTTGGCGTTGCGGACCTCGACACAATTCGGATTGGCGGCCTCATTTGCGCCACTGGAAATCCCGCAGGCTACTGCTGTGGGGTTTACATAACATGACGGGGTGCCATCGACGAGGGGGTTTGTCAATTGCCCATTTATTGCGGGTATGTGTCGCGTGGTAAAGCCTCACGGTAAGAAACTTCATGACAGCGGATACAGATGGGGCTCGAGAGTCTCCATGTCGGATGTGCGATCCGTCTCTACGTCATTCTTCAAACCGACAATTGATGAAAAGCTCTGTTGCGTCTCTGACCACCCGAATCTGAAAGCCAGCTCTAAGTGGTGATGACGACGCTTGCCACAACCACAAGTCATGCTACTTGGCAAATGTTTTACCCACTGATAGCTGCGTCTATCAGCTTTCCAATGTGTAAACGCTGACACAAGACATTTTTGCATTCCATAGGCACGCCATTCTGCATGGATCGTTCCACTGTCAGTCCTACCTGGATTAAACGTCGCCCAAAGCCTCAAACTCTAGGGTCAAAGAGTTCTAGGAGAGTAAATGGGGCCTGCACTTTCAATAGCGGTGCCTCTGGTCTCTAAGCGTAAACCTTTCATCCTGGCGTACTGCGTGTGAATTCTTGTGTCTTGGTCCGAAGACTGAGCGTTGTGCGTGGTGATTGTAACTTAACGACGGTGATGTAAGTTATCGCTGGAGGCTCTCTGGTGAACCGTGTCTGATCCTGAGTTCGTGATCCCTTGCATTGGTACATCGCATCCTTAGATGTACTCCAGTGAATGGTGTCTATTTATTGTGGAATGGACATGCCACACCCCTTTCAATGACTCTCTTCTGAACTACTGCAAGCCAAGGCCGACAGAGACGCTATCAGCAATACATGGCCGCATGCGAAGTATTCCAACGGCCGCCTCGGAGATGAGAGCACATTGATCTCGCTTTGTAGACTCCAAGACAATCAACATACGTTTACCAAGAAAGATCCAAGCCTGATTCGGCAATGACGGCATGGCTCCGCCAGACAGACGCAGGCCACGATGGCTTCGAGTCAGTCGCGCAGAAAGGCCCGCCAGCGGAGCCTGCTCGCCTTGAACAAGACCCACGTTTCAGACATCGACCCCATCAGCGCATTTCACATATCGTGGAGAGGCCATGCAAATGGGGCAGCCGTTTGTGGAGGATCAGGGTCCCGTGCCATACTGTCGTTGGCTGCATGACGTAATTATCTGAAGGGTAGGGCTTAAATGGGGGGTCCTAGAAATCATATATGGAATTTGAAGGGTGATCAGACAAAGGTCTGACGCCTTTATACAGCTGCATCACTTGACGCATGTTGCGAGGCCACACCGCAAGAAGAGATGATAGAAATTGGTTCCGACTAGAGACAAATGTTTTGCGGCGCTGATCTGACTATTGATAATGATATGTAACGAGTTGGTGTGCAAGAAACCGAATTCAAAAAGGAAATGACAATGGCACATCATGTTGATGCGCATCCGGAGCCCGTCAGAAGAGCTTGAGAAGATCATTGTAGAGGGTGTGTTGACTGCCGGCAGAATCTGTGTCGTTTAATTTCATCCGCGCATTGGTCGTTGAATGGAGGGTCTAAAGAACGTCATGCGTCACTGGGGCTGAATGGCTTTGATTCTGTAAGGCTAAGTGATGGGGAAACATTCAATGTTTGAATTCGTCGTACTGATGACGAGGCTTCAGGTTATATGCCGGATCCCGAGCGCAGCACCCAGCCATAAAGGGTCAGTCTGGTAAGCCCATTAGAAATCAAACACTTATAGCTTAAGTGTGTTAATGACGGCTTGATTGTGATGACCAGGGCTGGTTATCGGCCACTGGGTTGTATCGAGCATGAGCACGACCTATTAGTTCACAAGATTCTTCAGATTGTATTTGACCATTCTTGAACGAAGCTTATAAGGACTACCGCAAGAACATAAACGCCTGAGCTTGTTCAATCTTGATATGTGTAAGTTGCAGCAGGGCGAGCAACATGGCTTGGTACGAGAAGTCATGACGACGTTGCTGTTCCTTGCCGTGAGTTCTTGTGCAAGACAGCTTTGCTAGTCCTCGATATCTGAGCGAAAAGCTGATTCCCATTGCCGCAATTATTGAGGCTTTGAGAGCTTCACAAGGCTTCGACTATGAAATCTTGTTGCGGTGGTTAGTCCGAATATACATGCTTATTTAGGTAGTAAGAATAGGGCACTCCATCGAAACAACGATCATAACCTGTGCTCAAGGCCTGCAGGTAGGCGTGTATCAGATGCCTGGAGCTTTTTTCGCAAGTGAATGCATCAATTTCCATTCACGAACCTATCCCCACAGCCTAGGCCAGCTCCTTCCATTATGCGTGAGGCCATTCACCTGACCACCGAGACACTATGTAATTTGCGACTTTCAATAACACTCAAATCAGATCTATCGTCGGCTCCCAAAGCTATCAGAACTTAGTTTGAAGCGTCGCAGCTCCCAAGCGCTGGCTTCTAATGCGTATGTGAAGCACCATCTCTCAATGGATCCCCGACGTATACATCTCAAAGGCCCACGATGGGGAATCATTGTTCTGTTCTTGCTGTTCGTTGGACATGCCTTTTGCAAGAGCAAGGCCAAAAAGCAGAGTCAGTACTTTCCTCCGCTGTAGCTGTTCCATGCTCCCCCACAACAGACACGTCTCGGGGAGAGCCACTCCGACATCTACTGTCAAAAGGGACGATATTGCCACATCACGTCAACTCCCATTTATTTTCCGTCGAGAAAAGATTGAGAATCATTAACATAATAACCCCCACAGATGAAATGGAGGCCAATGGTCCATACTGTTGTCCGACTGGTTGCGGTGACCTCTGTGAGGACTGTGACTGGTCAATCGCTTCCTCCACGAAGCGTAACCTCGACCGAAGTAGCACTGTTCATCAAGATTCTGTTTTCGAAGACCCAGCCACTTCGGTTTGCAGCGCTTCTGAAGCAGGCTGTCAGACACATGACCGATCGTACCTCCATGTGCGCGGCGCCGACGACATTATCCCAAAGGACAAAACGCGCGAATTCACTGATCCGCTGACTTGGCCCGAGGGAGAAAAAGACTGGTGGGAGAAGATGAACGCCATCCAGCAAACTCGTGGCCTGTGGTACTATCACTGGATCGAACCCGGTCCGAACGGCAGGCGCATTGTTCACGCCGACAGCAACGCCCAGGTCTACTCTTTAGACGAAGACGACCAGGGCGACAGCCCCTGGAGGCTCAACGACCCCCAGGCCGGCGGCACGCAGCCCGTGACCTGCTGCACCATTGTCGTCTTCGCGAGCAACCTCGGCCTCGTTCTCGCTCACTTCTGGGAGGTGCCGACCTTTGTCGCCATGAATCCCGGGACCGGCAATCACGATCCCGAGCGCCAGGCTGCAGGATACCAGACTAATGTCATTGACTTTTTGAAATACGGCAAGGCGTACCCCGTTTCACCCCTTGTACAGAAAGGTGGCCGCCAGGACCCGCCCCCGGTATCACCCCCGATCGTCGACCTCTTCAAGCCCGGCATGATCCTCGACAAGGCGTCGGTGCTCTGGCGTTCGATCGTTGTCTTCTCGCCACGCGCAAATTACTGGGTCGACGACGAACCAGTCAGGAAGAACCTCAAGGCCATGACGCAGTTCAAAACGGACCTCGCTTCCTTCTGTGGCGTCGATGAAGAGGAAATCGAGTCGTACACGCTATACGCCACGGGCGAGGACAACGATGACGGGTCGCCTGCGTTCCGATACAACCTGTACGACCGCTTCTTCACGTGGCGGTACAAGACGTATTGGGGCAACAACGACGAGGGCAAATGGGTCAAGCGGAAGCGGTTCCGCGGCATGTGGGAGTGGCAGGTGGTCAAGTCATTGGACCGCGAATGGGACGCGCCGTGGGCGGATGATTAGGACTATCCGGACTCGGCGCGGTGCAACCTCGAGATTCGAACCTTTGCGAACCCGACTGACGATGAGGGCAAGAACTATCTAAACGTCGTCGTGCGGCCATGGCGGACCAAGGGTGCGGGCAATGACGGCGACGGCGAGATCAGACTGATGCGCTACGAGTTAGATGGGCAGCATGACGAGGGAATCCCTATTGGCAGCCAAGATTTCGAGGAGGATGTCACTCTCATATACAAACCGGATGACTCTTGGAGGACCAACCCTGATAAGCGACCGGACTACGATACGTGGCATCCGAATGTGCGGTTTGGCGACCACCTGTACGAGTACAAGGGGGACGCAACACCTCGAGGTTCGGGCTACCTTCCCAAGTGCCGCGGCGGCAGCTGGAAGCGACCTGAGAAGGACGGCAAGATTGAATCTGGAACCTGGGTGAGTTTATGATTCCGAAGCCTCGGCGAGGGAACTATGGCTAATTTTGGCAGGAGCGAATGTCGTTTTGCAGCTTCTGGTGCAAGCCGATGAACAAGTAGTAATAGGCCCCAGAGCGAAGCATTTCTTCTGGTCGACTCTGTTGACAGGGGCATGCCGGGTCGAGAACCCCCTGGGTGTTTAACCTAACGTCCGACAGACAGTCAGGGAGTCATCGTCATGGTACTCTTATACGAGATCATCCTAGCATAACACAAGGGAAGAACAGTTTCCAGGTAGCACGGTGATGAAGCCCAACAAGTCATAAGCATCGTGATATTCATTGTTCGCTGATACACGCGAAGAGCGTAACTTCAGGTATCGCTCTAGGATGGTTCCCCGAAAAATGTCAGACAAAGGTCGTCGGTGACGTGTTCCATGCAAATTCCCTAGATTACATCCTTTCCCTCTCCTGCCTGGCAACCTCCTCCTGGAAGACATTGCGGCCAGATGTGCTCGCAGGCGAAATGGGCGAAACGGTATCACTCCTGTCCTCGAGTTGGATGTCGTTGTTGTTCTTTCTGCCGAGATGCTGGTCGTGAGCTGCTTGGGCGCCAAAGCCACTGCTCGTTCTGTTGATGCTAGCACCAGCAGCAGCGCCCCTCCTCTTGCGACGGAATAGACAGAAAGCAGCGAGACCAGCAATGGCGAGAACCGCGAAAACAAGGGGGAGGACAATCGCCAGCACATTCGGACCACCGTTCTTATCATCATCATCATCGTCGTCGTCGTCGTCGTCATCGTCGTCATCATCCGAATGCTCCTCGGGTATGTTGGCGCGCGCAGGAAGGAGGGTAATCGTTGGCCCCGTGACATTGGTCAGCTCATTTGATTCCGAAGAAACAAACTGCAGCATGAGCGAGACATTGTGGAAGTCGGTGCTACCCTTGAGGTCAGCTTCGGAGGGAGTCCAGGCGTAGTATCCCCTGCCGAGGACGATGGTCGTGTCGTTGATGATAAAGTTGGGTTCGGCATTGGTCGGGGTGCCGCTCTGGCGGGTCACGGCGAGGCCGACAATGTTGGCGACTGTATTGAGGTCTGCGCCGAAGCCGCTACTGTCCCAGGTGACTGTTGGCGGGTCAGCACGCGGCGAGGGATTGTGTGAACAAAGATGCAACCTACTGTAGTACGGTTCCTTGACGTAGAGCTCGGAGCGGGCGCGCGGCTGGCAGAAGGGGGCAATCTCGCTGTTGGCGTTGTCCATGCAGACATTGAAGACGCCGCGACCACCATCAGAGTCAGTGGCTCGTGGTGGAGGCGGGGCGCCTGTGCTTGTGCTCACGTCGCCATTTGTAGCCGTGACGGTGAAGACGGAGCCGGTCAAGATGTAGGGGGCGGCTGATAGTGTCGTCGCAACGCCATTGACCTGTGTCGAGGTCGGGATGTAGGTGCGCGCGTTGCCATCAGAGTCGACTGAGACCCATTGCCTGTTGGCGCCGGCTCGTGGGCGCAGCACAGAAGCAGAGAGAGGGGAGGCGGCGAGGAGAGCCAGCGCCAGTCGGGATGTCAGGGCGACCATGGTGCGTGGTCTCGAAGCGAAGCTTGCAGTGCTGGTATGGACTGCTTGGAAGGTTCTGCGAAAGGTGACGATGAAGCCGAGCAGACTGGCCTCGAATTGCACATCGGCGCGAGGCAGAGGCGGCAGGTGTCTCGGGGGCGGTGCTGATCAACATGTGTGCCAAGAGCTCTCCTCCGTCAAAATCGTGCGCTGATGGAGGGGGAGGGGTAATGGATGGCGGGGCTCGCGGTCGCCAAGCAATCTATCCACGAACAACAAGCCTAGCGCAAACGTATATGGATATCGATGGCTGGGACGGCAAAGTCTCGGTGCTGTGTTTCTACTGGTAGTTTTCGCCCAGGCTCCTAAAAGGGTCTCATCGGTCTCATCGGTCTCATCGGTCCTGTCTGCGGTTTTTTGTTTCGTCCAATGGCAGACCCGAGCTTTTCAACCATCGCCGGCTGTGAGAAGCCGTACCTTGCCTCTGAAGACAGTTCCCTGCTTGACGGGGCTTGGTGGGCTTGGTGGACCAAGAAGCTGACACTCGTCGAGAAGCGGACTATCAGCGATGGCCACGGCGGAGAGACTTGGTGCTAAAATTCTGCGGTAGTTCGCAACTTTCTGGCGGTGGGTTTCGGACGTCACGGCAAGATTCAGTGTGTTCCTGATGGATGCTGTCGGAGCCCTGGTCCAGAGTTTGACCGCTCCAAGACGATGGAATTGTCGGTGGATTGATGGATAATTTCACAGTGTGAAGCAGCCAAGATGGCCGCTGCCAAATTTCTGGCTGTATGTCTTCTGGGTGCCTTAGGTGGCCCAGGTACCTGAAGGCGTACGCTCCAGAGCCAATGGCAGTGGAAGCGTCCCTACACCGCCCCAGGAGCCTGGGCATCTCCGGCATCCTCTTTCCACAAGCTTGACATGACAAGACCTGGTGGAATCCCAACATCCCACGCTTCTGTGTCGCTTGCCGAATTCCTCCTCCTCTCACACGCATGGCAAGCTTGCCTTCTTCGAGATAGGTCCTGTTGTCGTTCGCAGGCCACTCCAGCTAGATAGCCTATGCCATTAGCTGCTTCAAACAGATGGAATGCGGTTTAGTCTACCAGTATTCGGAGCCCCAAAGGAAGGATCGAATCGAATCGCTCCTCCATCAGTCCACATCGATTACCGAGTCGTTCGATTTGAGGAAAGCAATTCGCAAGCACATCGACACCGCCGATCATCAGCGAGTGCGTGAATTCGCCACGCGATCGATCCTCTGAGAGAGGTCACGCACCCGTCATCACCGGGGCAATTGCAGCCTCCTATCAAACAAGCAACATTGGCTGTAGGGCCTGAACGACTCCAGGAGTATGATCGATGACAGTGCCAATTCAGGCCAGCCCTGATTCTCCCGACGAAACTTGAATAAATGTACCGCCGCGCTGGACCAAGTGGCACGCCAGGCGGAGTTCAGGCGAAGCTATCGCGTGGGGCCCAACCTCGTCCTTCCGTATTCAGCAGCTACTGAGCTTCTCTCGTCTGATCCGTCCGACCGCTAGAGCGGACACACCAAAGGGCGGCCAAGGGTAGGCTTGCCGACGCCAGGCGCATTGGTGCAGGCGCTGCCAGGTGCGCCGAATCCTCGCCAACGTGATCGACTGGCTCGTCCGCCTGCATTCGACTTGCTCCGGTCGGGCCTAGGCGACCCTTGGCGGCCCCGCGTGAGGGCCTGATGCCACAGGCACTACCACGAGGTTGGCCGAACGAAGCCTACGCGAGGAGCAAAATGATAAGTGAGGGGCGATCAGAAGGAGGGGTCTCCTGGTGGGGTCGACCTTGCTATCCTTCCATCCTTCGTCTGCATTGCGGAACTGGCTGAGAGAATCCGGGCCCTCTCTGCATTTCGTTGCACGCGCGATCCCGATCGAACAGCATTTCCTCTTCTTTCACCAAGTCCCTTAAGGTCAGCATCTTGCCCGTCGACAGAAACAAAAGGACCCCAAGACAACACTGTCGTGCGCCAATCGCCAGCATGAAGTGCCTCCGCACTGCTGCCATGGCGGCTGTGGTTCTGTCTGCCACTGCTCTCGCTCAAAGCGAGTGTCAGAATATCCTCTCCACCCAGTACAATGCACCTGCTGTCCACCCCGGATGGCAAGCTCAGCTTATTATGAATGGCCTCGTCAAGCCGCGCACCATTGCCGTCGACAATGCTGGCGCTCTCATCGTCCTGGACGCTGGCGTTGGTGTTCGTCACATCACCTTCACGGACCACGGCCACACCTGTCTCGAGGTCGACCAGAACAAGGTCATTATTGAGCTCGAAGGGGTAAGTTGCGATTGTCTCACATCCTTTGCCAATGGTTTTCAGCCAAATTAATGGTTCACGCACAGCTCAACCACGGTATGGCCTTCTCCGTCGACGGACGGACCCTGTATGCCTCCACAGTCGATTCCGTCTTCGCTTGGCCTTACGACCCCTCCACCGGCGCCGTCAGCGGTAATGGAACAGAGGTGATCACTGGCATGGCCAGCAACCAGCATGTCACCCGTACACTCGTCGTCTCGCGCCACAGCCCTGGATACCTCGTCGTCTCTCGCGGCAGCGGCGACAATCTGGCTACTGAAGCTATGAACATCGACTCGGGCATGTCTCAGATTCGCGCCTTCAACATCAACAACACCGATTCGTTCCCCATTGACTATCTTGAGGGCCGTGTCCTCGGCTGGGGTCTGCGCAACTCAGTCGGTGTTGCTGAGGAGCCCACATCTGGCAGGTTCTACTCTGTGGAGAACTCGGTCGACGATGTTGAACGTAACGGGCAGTTGATCAAGGAAGACAACCCTGCCGAGGAGCTCAATGAGCACGGCACTATTGAGGATGCCCCCGAGAATGAAGCCAATGCCACCAACTACGGCTACCCTCAGTGTTACGCTGTCTGGGACGCCGATGACATTCCCGACCACGACAATCTCGAGGTCGGCGATCAGTTCGCCATTGACACAAATACAACTCTTGACGACACTACCTGCCGTGAAGAATACCAGGCTCCTCGTCTGGCTTTCCCCGCCCACACTGCCCCTCTCGACATCATCTTCAATGAAAACGGTACCGAGGCTTGGATCTCCTTTCACGGCAGCTGTATGTTTCTCTCTCCGCCACTTCTCCCGCGAATGAATGCTAACAAGCCCCAGTCAACCGCGAAAACCCCCAGGGTTATTCGCTTTCGGTGGTCGACTTCGCTAACGGCGAGCCCACCGAGCCTCACACCTCCGCTGACAGCCTGACGCACATCGTCCGCATGACCGACCTCTCCACCTGTCCCGAGAACTGCTTCCGTCCCGTCGGTCTCGCTTGGGGGACCCAGGGTCGCCTTTACGTCACCTCTGACTCGACAGGCGAGATCTTCATCCTTGAGCGCCAGTCTGGTACACCGTCATCCACCGAATCTGGTACTCTTGTCCAGCCCACCGAGACGGGCTCTGCCGACTCAAGTAATGGCGGCAGCGGCAACAATGACGACAGCGCCGCGACGGGGCTGGCTGTTGGGTCACTGGGTGTCGCGGCCGTGGCTGTTATGACTGCTTTTCTGCTGATGTAAAAAAAAAAAAAAAAAAAAAAAAAAGGGAAGGATAAAATCATCATGATTTCACGAACAGCGTTGGGCCATGTAGCCTATGAACACATACAAACTCTTTTGGAACAGGAATTGACCTAGACCTCGAATCTTTTGTTTTGTTAGCGTGGTCGAGTATCGACTCGAGTCATGTTGATTGAAAACGACTCGGGGAGCACGACCATGGTGCTTGCCGCCACGTTCCTTGACTTTGGTACTGACATGTCCCGTATCCGAGGTACACAATTCGGTTGAAGAGTCACCAACCAAGCAACGAAACTCGTAGAGCAGACAAGTCATGTTTGACAGCTCCTATCGTGGCTGGCTCTTGTTGACTAGCGTCCTCAATGAACCGTTGCTGATACCAGCCGTTCCCAGTCGACACGGACGTTTTCCATCACAGAGTAAGCAGTGTTTCGCGGCATTTGCTACTGGTTTCGACGAACATCGCCTCGAGTATTGAAAGACAGCATAGGTGGGATGACCATTTCAGTGCCACTAGAAAAGTTCCGCTGTAATGGTGTGATTGCCATCTATGGAATCTCTTACCTGTTTGAAGAAACATAGAACATAGACAAGTCGCCTATAGGCTCCATCCGCCTCCTTGTCTTTCTTTCCCTGAGCCTATTTTTTCGAGACCGTTCTAAGGCTTGCGCCCGTAGATGTACCTCACTGTCATGTACCCATGTAGTTTTCGTGATCTAATCTCGTCCTTCATCGACGTCAAGAATGTCTGGTATTTGTCCGTATCCCACCCGAGGACATCCTTCCACATGTAAAGCGTATAGCCTAAGCGCGTCAACTACAGCTCTTCCCATCACAGCCATGCTGGGTACGTACCTTCAAGATCATTCTCCATGGTCAAGCGAACCCACTGCCCGACCTCGGCAAGCTTGGGATCCAACGGCCAGTCCCCAATAGGTACCTTGAAGTTCACTTCGTGCAGATCCACGAATCCCGCCTCTTGCATCCCTTTCCGCTGCAGTTCATCCGACAGGACGGTGAATGAACGCCCGAACTTCTCGGCCCCTTCGACAAACAGCCGCGACCACGAAGAGGCCATGGCCGTGTCGGGCGTGATACTGTCATCGTCAGAGCGAATCAGGCACTCCGCCTCGCACGACTGGCACCAGCCACCGGGCCGCGCCGTACGGTACGCCTCGCGAAACAGGGCGGGCCAGTCGGTTATGGCGCCGAAGAGGAGGCGCATGTGTACTAGGTCGAACGTGTTGGCCTCCCAGGTCCAGGGGCGCGTGCAGTCGTCAATCTCGAACGAGAGGTTGGAGGGCAGCCATGTCGGCTGGGTCGGGGAGAGGTCGGTGCCCGTGACTTCGGCTTCGGGGAACGCGTCGGCGAAGGCTCTGTGCCGTGGTCAGTCGGTCGGTCACGGCACGAAGAGGCAGGCTTAGTTGGGGCCCTTATTGGTGGTTGGGTTACATTGCCCATATCCCTGGTTCTAGCGTTAGTTTCGGGGGGCGGGAGGAGGGGGGGAGGGTTCGCCCAAGCAGGTGGACAGGACGAAGACGCGCATACCTGTCCCTGTGCCGACGTCGAGCACACGCTTGGCGCCGGGTTTCAATGGGGCGAGCAGGAGTTTGCCATCGAGCAGGATCGTCAGGAAGCGATGGCTGATGTCATGAGATGTGATGTGATGAGCGACGAGCTGGTCTGGAGGAGGGGCAAGAGCGATAGGTTTCGACGTACGTCATGTCGATGCATTCAAGCTGCTTCGAGTCGTTCGGCAGAAAGTACTGCGTGTCGGTCCGCTCGCTGTGCCACGTGCGGCCATGTCGCTCTCGGTAGTTCAGGACGCTGGAGGTGATGGACCGCGTTGACGCAGATCTACGGCCCATGTGTCAGTCAGTGGGTAAGAGTTAGAGGGGGCAGAGGTTCTCCGCCGACCCGAGGGAATGGGTGCGCCATCAGTTGGTGGCTTACCCGTCTTGTTCGTCTTCGCCCAGGGCCGAATCATGGTCCTCGTTCTCCTCATCCTGCATGCCATTAGACCTTGGCGTACCAGATGCTCGGGACACGCCAGCCCTGAAGCGGACGCGAACCTGGGCCCGTACCTCGTGTTGCGGTGCAGGGGTATCTTCGGGGGATGAAGACAGCATTGGTTGTGCTGCGGCAGACAGCGCTGGGTCGGGGGCCTCTGTGTCTGTGGGGGTCATCGCCATTTTGAGTTTTGGAGTGCTCGGTTGGCCATGCCGTCGATAAGGGGTCCCAAAGAAAAGAGTAGATGAAGCAACCTCATCGAGCGACTAACGAGGTGATGAGCGGGATGAGTCTTAAGACTGTCGGCAACTGGGTCATCGAAGCAAGGGCGCTCCTTGGTGCGAAGCGGGCAGCGTCAAACGCATGTCAGACTCAAAACGGGATTGCGCGCAGGCTGGACTAGACGCTGGACGACCTGGAGGTTCGTGGCTGCGTGCTATTCGCTCGTGAATGGCGCTTCGATGGGACCACCTTGTCATGTGGAATGGATCGTGCAATCGGCGTCATGGCGAAACCTGGTTAGCGAAAGGACATGAGCAGCGATGGTGGCTTTGGGCGGTGGCCATCAGCAGCTCTAGCGCTATCGCATGCCCTGATGATGGCCAACTAGTCGATAACGCCGTGATCATTGTTCTGACCCAATGATATAATGCTCAAGATGGTCTCGAGTGTTCCTGATTTTGGGCGCTAGGGTAATCAATTCTTGGGAAGGACAGCCATGCCGTAGAGAAAGATATGGGTGTTGAGGGACTTTGGCACAACAGGCGTCCTGAAGAGCACGGTTTGCTCCAGAGCGCCTGCGATGCTGCCCAAAAGGGTTCCGATCGCCTTGAGCTGCACATGTTCATTGGAAAAGTCGAGGTATACACCTACCGGGAAGAAATTCTGCCTGTGTAGAACTCTGTCCCAAGCATTTTATATTCCTAGATCATGACCATCCAGCACAGGCTCCTCCATTCATATTGGCTAGGGACTTGATGCCATATGCAGGCACTTGGCCAGGTTCGGTGGGTAGAAGGGTCAAGGGGTGCTAAACGCAGGGGACGGCCAGGTCGAATCCGTGGTGGGATGTTCTTTCACGCCACTGGCGGGCGTATGGGCGTCGGGCTTGAACTCAACCAGATTGCTCCCAGCACCATCACCAGTCGGAGCGTTATTTAAAAGCATATATGGCCAAATGGTCGTTCATAGACTTGCTATAGGCCACCAATGAATACCCTGCGGCTTAGGTACATGCAAGGTATGATTCTTGAGAGCAAGCCAAGTCACCCGCGATCAGCCAAGAAGTGTGGCCCACGGTAGTGCTTTCGAGCAGAAAGACAAGCAGCGCTCGCGTACTGCTCCCGGATCTCTAGGGGCTGTCGACATTCCTGTGGTCTTTCATGCCCTCTTTGGTGACCTATAGCGATGAAGGTCAGGCAATGAATACAGTATCTGATAGCATGGGATGCCACAGTCCTGTTCACTGACTAGTCTTCTTGTTAACGTCGTGGGTGCCCTTTGGTGGTGGGCGGACGCTGGACCTCTATGCACAAACGGTCAGTCAAGCCATAACAACGCCGCCGTGACGCCCAGAAATTCTCGCTTACAGGCCTGCATGGCATTGGCCATCAACATACCCCTTGTGAAGTCACTTTGTCACAGTGACCTCAATCGCTTTTCTCGCTGCTTCGCCTTACATCCCCGCGCAAAGGGGGACCAAAATACTCACCTGTGGTCATTTCTACGATCATTCAAGAATCTCTCACTACTGCTTTTGTGAAAATCATGGACATGCGGGATCCTGATTGCTTCTCCTTGTGTAGCAGCAGAGCACTGGGCCGCTCCTAGGCCGCTTTGACATGCTGGTAGCACGAGTCTGGCGATAGACAGGGTATACGCCCCTATTTCTAATCTGGCATTTTCGAGATGTCAAGAGGGCACTGTTGTACACACAAACCAATACCAGACTATTCTTCATAATTTGAGGCAATCGGCTGGATGCTGAAGATGGCACCAATGACAGCGTCCGCCCCACCCGACGAAAAGGACGATGTGGATTGCAGTCAAGGCCTACGACAGATTGTCAACCCCGAGTGCATGATCGGGCGAGCCTTCCCGAGAGGCAGTGGCTTGCTCGTTTAATTGCATTGAGCGTGTTGATACGAGTGGTCGCACGAGTACGTACTCTGAGGGCATGAAGATACTACCTCAAGCCCTCGTCATTCAGTGAAGGCCAAACTGTGCCAAAACAGGCTGACGCATACAGAAGAAGTTCACTCACCTCGCCATTCAACCTGCCCGTCCAAACAGGCTGCAGGCGTTTTGTGCGAATCTCCACATCGAAACTGGCACAGAGCTGACACCTCCACCTCCGATCATACCCTTTTGTCTTCCGCTACATCCCGGATATCATACCTTTGTGCATTGGTGAGATCCGCCTCGCTGCCCAAAGTTGAGAGGCCGGGTCTCTTGAACCCCGCAAAAAACGGTGCACTTATGACGTGAGTGAAGAAAAGTCTCTTTGAGCCTGGCGAGATAAGGGACACGAGGTCTTGCTTTTGCAATGCAGCAGATGCCCTTGCGTGAGCGGGCCACCTCTGCTAAGAGCGTGACGACGGGATCCAGACAATATCATCGGGGCTTCGCTATAGTCGCGACATCATTGATCCGAACCATGTGAGACTTGTACACAAGGCTGTGGGAACGTCAGTTGCTTTGACCATGTCAAAAGAAGACCTTTTCACGCTATTTAAACCACGCGCTGACGATCCAGTTGTCGCTCACAAGACTGATCGAATACGTCTGAATGGAGGCGCAATCAGCGCAGCAGACTGTGGCATGCCTCCACGCACGACGCTAAGAGCTTGCCATGTCATTTCATCTGCTACCGATCCGACGACAATGTCGGCCATGCAAGAGTATTCCTCTGCTCATGACCACCAACAACACCATAGTGCTAGAGGAAATGCAGCGTCTAGATTGGTTAAGAGAACTGGGTCATCGACTTACGACGCACCCTCCAACGGACCACCTGGGTAGAATTCTCGCTGCGAAAGATATATAATCGACTGCCGCCAAGCTCACGCCAGATCAAAATGGCCTCTAAGTCACCTCTGGTATTTTTCCAATTAGTTAATGGACCCTTTGGGGTTTCGACTCCTACACCTTGGGATTATCGCGTCAGTAGCGAGTGCCTCGTCTCCAGAAATTGGACACCACGGCTGGCTCTGCGATGTACATCAAAGCCGAGGCGCCGCTTCGAGCTTTTCAGTATAGCTGTTAGCCCGATCTTGCACTATTCGGCGGATCTACACGAGACCGTGACGAGAGGGCGCATGATATTTCTGGCGGGCTTTGGATGAGGAATTGCACACGGAAGGCGTGTGTCTTCGTAGTTGCGATCATTGCCAATTTGTACTTAGTTCACGCTATGCTGCAGCGTGTAGGCATCGTGTAAATGCGCTTCAGTCGTTTATCTATGGCGTCGGGCAGCCCCTCAACATGTTTCGCAATACAAGAACATTGAGAGGGACAACAATTTCGATGAAATGTGCTGCCCTCTTGTTCACATTGCGTTTGACGCAGAGACCTGGGATCTGAAAAGAAAGTTGATTATCTCCACTCCAAGACCTAAGGGGACTTTTTTTTCTCAATTGAGTAATCGTTTGGAAGCATCAGGAGGCATGGTCCTCGCATTGAGGCCTTCTGCAGAATCGGCAAGTAGAGAGTTGCGCTGGAGGCCAACCGGCTTCGCCTGGGTGGTGGACAGAAATTTGGTCCTCACCGCATCGTGCCTTCATGGTCATTCTTCGACTGAAATGCTGCCCTCGAAGTGTTCAGGAATCCGAGGAGTCGACTGCCCGCGTTGCGCGTCATCGTAATTGGCACCCGTTGGAGACAGCAGAACTTCTGCGCATCGACTCATGTAGTATGACTCTTCCCTCTTGCCACCGACTCGTACCTGTCTAAGCCTCGAGAGTGGTCGGCATAGCGTCGGCTCCCAGTAGGCAACTCCTCGCGGCTCGGATGTCGTCCCAAGACAGCTCGGGTCTTGGCCAACGGCTCACTGCTGGCGAGGCCTGGGCATCTGGGCCTTTATATCACGCAGTCGCCGACAAGTCGAGCGCCCGCTTTACCGCTCCACTCGCGTGTACCTCCCCTTCTTGCCGACAGACTCCGGCACCGGGCATGCTGATGCAAAGGCTTCTTCTTCGGTGATTGGCTCAAAATCAAGGTTGGGAAGCCCAGGGCTTGGCGTGCGTGAGCGAGTGGATGCGGACAGGGCCAGAAAGTTATCAGATCATCAGATAAGATGAATCACACCAATCAGATAACGGCCTGGCTCGCACCACCATTCCCTGGTTACGAAGGGGGCGCCCAATAGCATTAAAATTAGTGATGCTAGCTTGTTCTTGCCTTGGGGTCTCCTCGCGGTCCCCCAAGCTTTCTGCGCAGCTGATCTTCAAGCTCGGGGAACGCCAGTTTCTGCGATTCGCAAAAGCTATTGTACCAGTCAGCCTGGATGCTCTCGTTCAGGCAGGAGGGACTAGTGCAACCAAAAAGACTTGTTAGTAATTCCTCCACTCGAGGAATGGCGTAGGTGGGCTCAACGTAGGCTAGAACTAGACGTCGAATCCTAAATCGGATGACTGCCTATACAGGCGCACTTTCCCGGCCTCGCAGTGCCCAGAGTTGCCAACGAGACTAGGCCTCAGGTCCTAGGCCGTTCCGGGACCAGGGGCCACACAGCCAGGCATCTCCGTGGGCCCCATCACCGAGGTGGTCCCATTCTATATAGTATTCCCCCTTCCTTACGTCGCTGTTCCCGCGGTTTCTTCGCTTTGGCATCCTGTCTAGCTTCCCGCAGATCCAACCCACAGCTCTCACCCTTATCGAGCCTCTCGTCAAACACCAGTCTCTTGTCATTGTCGCTCCAACACTGACAAGATGAAGTCTTACTTTGCCCTCCTTGCCGCCGCCGGCATTGCCTCCGTCCCTGTCGTCGCTGGTTATGAGTATCTCGACGTCGTGCCCCTCGAGGCCCGTCAAGCTACTGGGGAGAAGTTTGAGTGCCACTCTAACTGTGGTACGCTTCAGATCACACTTACCATCATTTGTTTCCGATCACTGATATTCGCAGGAAATGCCATCCTGGGCAGCAAGGATGGCGAAGTCCACTGCAGCAACTCCACCTGGCTCGGCCTCTTTGAGGAGTGCCTCGAGTGCGCCAACGAGTTCGACATCTGGCAGCACTACGGCAAGGGCGTTGAGGAAGGCGCCGAGGCATGCGACCTTGAGGCTGTTCCTGTCGGCTCTGCCGCGACTGCTGACGCTACCACGGCTGCTGGCTCAACTACTGCCGCTGCCCAAACCACTGCTGAGGCTACCGCCACTCCTGTAAGACAATTTGTACCAAGGTCATGAAGAGTAACCGCTGACATACCGATAGTCGGCTGCGACTGAGGATAATGGTGCCGCTCAGCTGACAGGGTCGAGCGTCATGCTATTTGCCATGCTTGCTGCCGCCGGCCTGATGTGAACGCATACCGGCTACTTGTCTGATGTGCTGAAGAGTTGATGATGACCAGTATTTACCAAGCATCAATGTATACCATGGGGATCTCTTTGCATCCATGATCTACCCACGTGATACAACTACCCTTAATCAACCCAACCTAGGTATAAAAATGTTGCCTCAATGCCCCTGCGATGGTAAACCGTGCTGGTTCAACATCAAATGCGCCCATGAGTCGAGAATCAACTGGGCCAAACCCGCAGTGTGTGCGATACCCAGTCACAATGGGTACTGACTCTGCCCCCATGATTAGGTCCCTAGCTATCATCAATCAACAGTAGCTGACCACGTACATGTGTCCAATATGTGTTTTAATCGGCTTACCATGGACCGCGAGGCAAGACGTTTCTTTCAGGGAGGCGTCGGCGAGCCTTTCGATAACCCGAAGGGACGAGATGCCATCACCTCATTGCGATCAGATATCACGCAATGGCGCTAGCGACCGTGCAGGCCAGTGCCTGTTATCAGTCCAGAGATGTTCCAGCTCCGCACAATACCTCTCAGTACTGTGGTCTCCGGAGACCTTCGTCTCCTTCCGTTAGCTTCTTCTTCGTCGATGATGAACACCGTCATTCCACATCGAGTGTACGAGACCGAAACGAAGCAAAGCGCAGTACACGACGCCCATCGCGAACAATCCTACGACGAAGTCGATTTTCACCATGAACAGTTTGATTTTCGAACATCTAAGTCATGGCAAACTCCAATCGCAGTTTCCCCCGTAGCTGCATCGCCTGACAACGACTTGACGCGATCACCCCTTGCAGGTGACCCATCCATCAATTGCGACGATGACGAGCAGAATGTTGCAGGTACGACTGGAATCACCAAGAAACGACGCCTCGGAACCACGGATTTCACTCGCAGGAAGCGCGCCGTGACAGCATGTCAGTTCTGTCGAGTCCGCAAGACGCGCTGTGACAACACCAGGCCACGATGCGGGTACTGTACACGGCATAAAGCTAGGTGCATTTATGGGGAAGAGACGGAGGAGCCTGTCAACAACAGCGGCTCAGCGGCCAACCTGGCCACGAATCACCAGGAAGTTCTTGCGCGGCTGGACGAACTTAAAGACATGTTGCAGGGAGGACAGAGTAGTGTAAACACCTCCAAGTCCATTGTTGGTCTCTCACCGGCACTATCATCACCCCAGGTTAGATCCCTGCATACAGCGTCGCCGCAATCGCTGGCCCATGACACTTGGAAAGGTGATTCTCAAGGAATGCCAACGAAAACCACAAGGCAGACTCTGGCATTTGATCTTGAAACAAGAAGACCATCCTTCGCATCGCTCAGATGCGAAGCCGTCTTGAAGTGGCCCGCTCTCCGAGATGTTGTACCGAACAACGCCGACAACATAGTGTCATTTCCTTTTGAATACGCGCTAGAGAATGATCAAAAACAGGAAAATACCAGCAGTTCCTCTCGATCTATGCCGGATGATCAATTTGTTCACTTTAGCAAGCGCTTCCTTGCCATCGTCCATCCACGTAATCCCATACTTGACGGGCATGACCTCCTGCACCATGCTCGATTGGTCGAAGAAAATGGGTTGCAGTGGGACTCAGCCTCGTGCCTTGTTGTAAGTACTTACTCCATCACATTACGGCCTGTATCCTATCTGAATATTTCATAGCTTATTGCGTGCGCTTTGGGCTCCTATACTTTGCCATGGGTCAAGCCAAGTCAAATCCCCGATATTGGGGACGCCTGGCAAGGATCGACGGTATTCGAGAAAGAGAATCGGGCGACAGCAGAGGCATACTATGCTGCAGCCTTAAAACGAGTTGGGCCCCTTGGTCATTCCGTCCGCGACATACAATGCTTTTTTCTTGCCTCAGTATTTGAAAAGTTCTCACTGCGTCCACTACAGGCATGGTCCTTTATTCAACAAGCTTGTTTCGGTCTACAGACGTTATTCCTGGCACGAGGAGAACGGCCTGGTGCCCCATTTCGTGGGTCACAGACTGAAGATCGGCACCTTGAGCAACGCCTGTTCTGGTCATGCTGTCGAGCAGAAAAGTATGAGACTCCTACGTGATCCGTGTACACCGCCGCTTCCTGTCGGTTAACCTTTCCCAGTGAGTTCCTACTGGAATTAGACTTTCGACCCAGTGGGCTTAACGACTTTTCGTACCCAGACGCCTTTCCAGAACCGCCAGAGGACCTTGAGTTCACAGCAACAGAGATGTCATCTGGCACTGGCGAGAGGCCCAATTGCGTTGATGATACCCATAGCCGCATAAATGAGCGCGGATGGTGCTACTACCTGTCTGAAATCTCGCTCAGACGTACCATTGACGAGACGGTTGCCCTCTTATATCAGAAAGGCGAGGCCTATTGGCTACAGAACTCATCGCAACTCGTACGCCATTACTGGGGATCAGAGCGCCAGATTGCATCTTGGTGAGTCAAAACCCTAGAAAACAAGGGGTTCAAGTGTTGCTTAAGTCATGTTTCAGGCAGTACCATATTCCTGCGATTGTCAAGTTCAACGACAATGAACCGCCCGATGAAGAGTTCGCCTGCTATCTCTGGTTCAGAGCGCTCGAATGGCGCGAATACACTCTTCGTCCCATTTTGTACTGTGTCTTACACAGCTCGCCCGAAAGAACTGCAACCGTGGAAGAGAAAGAACTTGCTCAAGCTGCGTTGGAGATCTACGAAACGGTCATTCCACAAAGGCTGTACGCATTGCGTCACGGAGGTTCCTGGTTTGCGGCCCGAAGGACATTCACCTCCGCAGCACTGATCCTCGCCGTTGTCATCAATCCTGGCAGCGGCTTAGTGCCTTCGAAGCGGTGGCCATCGCTAGTCCAGTCTGCAATTTGCGTCCTTCGGTACTGGGGGCAGGTCGCTCGCGATATCCGCCTGGCGGCCACAATTCTGACAGAGATGTACGAGAAGACACGTCAGCATATTGAATACACCTACACAGATTAGCATGATGTAACGACTAGGATTTGTAATAAAGACAAATGAAGTGAAGATACAGGGCCATGAGACACGAGTTGAGTTCTGTGGGTATACAGGATGTTAATTCTGCTTAGCAAGTACATCTGAAAGAAATGTCTGATCAAGCACGAAAACTAGAAGTACTTGGTGATTTTGAACTCGACACCAGGATCAAACATTCCCGTCTCAGCGTAATAGACTTCCCAGTGCTCGATGAGTCTTGCCAAGATATCTGGCTCGGTGCTTGCCAAGTCATGTACTTCTCCAGGATCGTTGTTCAGGTTGTACAACTCCCATCTATCCTTGCCACGAGGGGCAGTCATGTAAAGTGCCTTCCACGGCCCTTGACGGATGGCTCTTAGGCCAAACAACTCCCAGCCTGTGATTTGATTTTCCTCATCATGAAAGGAGGGGGTGTGATTGTCTAGATGCGGTGCCCAAGAAGCTCCTCGTACAGTGACTACCTGCCGGCCACGGAAGACCTTTCCCGGCAGTGGGATGGCGGCCAGCTCTAGAATTGTCGGGAGGATATCCATCACAGTTGCAAACGAGTCTGTATTCGTCCCGGATTTGGCGAAGGCTGGATACCGGACTAGACAGGGACAGCGGATGCCACCTTCGGTAATATATGTTTTGAAACCCCTCGATGGTGCCATGGAAGCACAAGCCCATTCCGCGCCGTACCAGACAAAGGAATTCGCCATCCCCATGTTTTTCAGTGAGTTATCGTAGTACTTGTCAATAATCGTTTGAAAAGTACCAGCGCCACCCATCAGCGGGAGGGCTTCCAGCATGGCTCCTTCAGCGCCATTGTCGGACATGAATAGAACAAAGGTGTTATCAAGCTCTCCAGTGGCCTCAAGATGGTCCACGACCCGACCAATGTTGACGTCGATTAGATCAACCATCGCGGCGTAGATCTCCATCTTTCTCGCGGACTCCGCTCGCTCGGTAGGGGACATCGTGTCCCAAAGCTCGACAGTCATTTGTGCTGGTTCCACGTCCTTTGAGACAAGCCCTAGCTCGACCAGTTTGTCCAGCCTCTTCCTCCGCAACACTGCGGGTCCTTCGTCATATAGACCTTTGTATTTGTCGATTGTTTCGCGGGGCGCTTGTAATGGCCAGTGTGGGGCAGTGAATGGTAGGTAAGCGAAGAATGGTTGTGCACTGTCTTCTCTCTCATCAAGATAACCGATCAATCTATCAGTGAAGGTAGTGGTCGAGTAGAAATCCTCGGGGATATCTTTGGTCCTGTCAAGGAAATCGGTGTCTTGCAGCCAGAACTTTCCGGCATTCATTGGCGTGACCAGGGCATGCGATGGGTTATCGAGTTGAGGTTCATAATTATAGTGGTTGCCGCAGCCGGAGAGAAAGACAAAGCTATTGTCGAAACCCCTGGCGGCTGGAGATGTTTCTTTGCTGAGACCAAGGTGCCTGAAGGAAAGTGTCAGCAAACGAGGTTTATGTGTGAGGAAAGTATTTCTGACTGACCATTTTCCTGACATAATGGTATGGTAGCCATTATCCTGCAAGATTTCGCTCAGAGCAGCAACTCGAAAGTTGAGGTAGCCTTCGTAGCCTGGCCTCCCTGTATACGGCTGAGGGGCTTGATTCATGTACTCTGACATCTGACCTAATCCAGCAATGTGGCTGTCAGTCCCGGAAAAGAGCATGCTCCTCGTTGGAGAGCATGCTGAAGCCGTATGGAAGTTTGTGAGCTGAATGCCGGTTCGAGCAAGGCTGTTCAACGCAGGAGTCTTGATCTCAGAACCAAAGCACCCAATATCGCTGTAGCCCAAGTCATCAGCGATGATGATGAGAAAGTTGGGGCGTTTTGTCGACGGGATAGATCCCATCTTGACATTCGGTTTCGAAGTTTTGATGTGTTGAGACTTTTTATGTGGCAGAACCAAACCTTTAGATCTTGGTATGTGGAACGCTCTTTATTTCGCAAACATCCTCTGTGGCAAAATAGATGGCAGGCGGGAGGGTTTTTAAATCTTGGCGATGAATGATCACCCACTGGCTCCGTACAATAGTTTACTACCCAAGTATTGTTTATGATAGTCAATTCAAGGATCTAGAACCGGACTTTGACGGGTATCGGTGGACAATGACGCCTTCGTTTGCACGACGGGTATGAACGGAGTCACGAACTGGAAGCGTGAGTGCCCCGAGCGGCAACCAAGGAAGTCTACAACCCACATGGGTCAGTGTCAGGGGTTCTCTGGATTCCGTGCTTCCCCGTCAAAGTCCGTTGGTAGCTCCACTTTGGTACGTCTTCGACGAAGCCACCTATCTTGTCTCGTCCTTAGCGTTGACGCAATTTGTCAATATCAGTGAACTTCTTTGTGCAAGTACCTGGCGGTTAAGCTTCAGAACAGCGTTGGGATGGGATATCTCCCCTCGACAAGATTGGTTTCTCGGCTGGGGGATGGACCTCACAATCGATATCTAGGTCGCGTTGCGTGCTTATGCGAGGTTCTGACGACAAAAAGTGTTGTTGCGCTCACGACCACTGTATCCAGTTTGTATAAGAGCTTCCAACCTCGCATGCATCATTTCGGTATCTGGGCAGACACATGCAAACATTAACACAGCATCGCGCATATTCCACTATGGCACCAAAAGTCACTATACCTACGAAGCGTTCTCGCGGCATTTTCGCCTGCTTCAATGGTCGCCTCTTGTATTCCTGCGTCCTCATCGCCTTATCCCAAGTCAATTTTGGCTCCGACCAGGCAGCATTCGGGAACACTCAAGCTATGCCTTTTTTCAAGCAACAATTTGGAACTTTCAACGAAGCCACGGGCACCTACGACCTGGACACAGTCTACCTGTCTCTTCTTAACAGCATTAACTACGTTGGTTTCATGTTTGGCCTGGTAACAGGTAATCTTCTAAGTCGTCGATTTGGCCGAAGGATAGCGCTTTTTGTTATGTGCCTCTGGGCCTTATTATCAGCCGTCATTCTGGTTACATCGAAGCATGGCGTTCAAATGATCGTCGGCCGTATAGTAGCTTACATTTACATTGGCATGGAGCTGGCTCTTGTTCCCGTGTTACAATCAGAATTGGCACCGGCTGAAGTGCGCGGCTTTGTTGTTGGGACCTACCAGCAAGGAGTGATGGTATGTCTCAACCTTTGCCCTCAGTTCTGCTATTCTCAAAATTGCTGACCAGTGCATTCCAAAGATTGGAGCTCTTGTGATGGCCGTCATTTGTCGAGGTACAAGCGACATTGACAGCCATGCTTCTTGGCGTATACCTCTTGGACTATTTTTTATTATTCCATCCATCTTAACAGTTGGAATTTGGTGGATTCCGGAGGTATTTACTAATTCTTCCACTTATCTACGCGCCTGCAGAGATACTGACTACATTGACAGTCGCCCCGTTGGCTTCTCCTGAGAAATCGACCAGAGGAGGCACTCAACTCACTTCGCCTCCTTCGTGAGGGACGTTACACCGAGCAAGAAATAACAGACGAGTTTAATGAGATACAGAATGCTCTTAACGTCACTGTAGAGTCAGGAAGCTTCAGGAACCTTTTTGAAGGCAGTAGGTTGCATCCTTCACTTGCATTAGCCGAGTTCTCAACTGATCACAGAGAAACAGCCAACTGCAAGAGAACATTAATTACTGTTGGCACCAATGTTTTCTTACAGCTTACCGGTCAGAACTTCAGCTCCATCTATGGCACAATTTTTATCCAGTCTCTGGGCACTGTCAATCCCTTTGCCATGTCGTGTGTCTCAACCGCCACTGGCTTATTTATGGTTCTCGTCACACAGCTCATTAGTGATAAGACCGGTAGAGTGTAAGTGATTCCAACTTGGAGACATCTTGACTTGCCTTGAGACCAGCAACTGAACTTTCTCAGACCTTTGTTGGTATCTGGAGCTGTTATCCAGACTGGTGCGCTTCTTACAATGGGCGGGCTCGGGACTATACCGGACCCGTCTGACAGTATCAAGAGCGGCATCGTTTCCGTGTCAATCCTCTTTGGCGCCGGCTTCTGCCTTGGATGGGCACCGCTCTCGCATGTTGTGGCAGCTGAGATTCCCACCAATGCGCTGCGGGATCTTACGTATGCGTTCGGGTCGGTCTTCAACATAACAATTCAGTTCGCAGTGTCCTTCAGCATTCCATACCTTCTAAGCCCAGTGTATGCCGGGCTTGGGTCAAAGGTTGGCTTCATATTTGGATCCACATCCTTCTTCGCCATTCTTTTTGCCTGGTTCTGTATTCCAGAATGCGGCGGCAAGACTTTAGAAGAGATAGACGAGCTATTCTTGCGCGGAGTACCTGTAAGAAATTTCCGCACCGCTAGGACTGAAGCGCGGGGCGCAGACTCTGAAAGACACGGCGATAGTGAAGGCGGTGGTAATGATGAAAGCATCACCAAGGAGATCAGAGTTCAGTGAGGTTCCCATAATCTCGAACTAAATTTGTTTGTTTGAACATTGCATGATATCTCATGATTATCAACATAGGTCCAGGGAAAATTGGGTTGGCCAGAACGTTTTATTGTGTGTAGAAGTCGTCAAATTGTTGAAATTTGCAACATGAGGAAATCCTATGATGAGGAACATTACGGCTTTGACCGAAAACTTCATATCTACCATTGCCGCATTACCATGTCGTGCGATTACCTATGGCATGCCGGGATCTGGCAGGTGGTATGTGTTTTCTGCTTACACACTCTGAAGAACGCTGACAAGCTCATCGAACTGTTCAGGTGTGAGGTCCTCGTAGATGAGGCAGTCGGAGCCGCAAGGAAGGGCATACGGGCCGGGTTCGTCACCGACAAGCACACCAGCCAGGTTCATACAGGTAGGAGGCACACCAGTGAACTGAACAGCTGCAGATTTACTTGAGTCATCAATCACGGATTCGAGGTGTGAGACTTATGGTCCGACTTACAATTCGGGGCAGGAGAAGTGGCAGTGATGGTAAGGCCCGCAATGTCTTCGCGGCAGCGCTGGTACTCAAACTCCGGAACACCGGGAACCTGACGACGAACAATAACGTTGGCAGCGTCTCTCTTCGAGAAGATCTCTACAAAGAGCTCTGCAATACCCTGGCCAAACAAGTCGATGACAAGACCAGCGCCACGGCCAATGTCGGCGCTGACTGGTTGCAGGCCAACAGCAACGAGGGCGAGAGGCGTCAGGACGGCAGAGGTCTTCATGATGGATATTCGATATGTTTGACGAGAATATGTATGAGGAATGAGCTATCTGAATAGAAGTGCTTGAGGTTCCAAGATAATCAATTACGGACAAAAGAAAATAGAAAGCAAGAGTCAACGGCTTTTATAAACATTTAACGATTCACCCAGTTCCACAAATCACCGGCTCATGCGAGTAAGGGCTTTCTCACATTGCTCCACTGCAAGTGCTACACGTTCTACACATTGGTCATCCTAGCAAGAAAGCTGTTAGACCCGAAGGATTCATGTCTATTGTATGATTGCCAAGATTGACTGGAGGTAAATCTCCGTATCCTTAGCCATTGGGTGAAGATCACAATGCATTAGAGCCAGGTTGGTCAGCAATAGGCCTCTGAAACTATGTTGAGCCGTGGTATTTTGGATGTTGCCACCTTCCAACGTGCACTTCGGATTCGTGGTGCCGATAGCCAGGACAGGCTTCTTCGTCGTGCTAGCATCGGAGCTACAAACTTCGTGCCACATGTGGCGGATAGAAAACGCCGTTCTTCATCGTGTTCCATGGATTTCATTGAGGGGTATTTTTGCGAACAAGAGGGTACAGGTCTCCCGAAAGCCTATGCCAGGTGGTCAGACAGACAAGTTCGTGCGCGAATTTAGGAAGATAATCCAAGCAGTGCCCAGCTTCCTACCGATGCGTTGTTACGATGCTGGTTCGTCACAAAACGTCCTATGTTAGTTACGACAAGACCAACATCCTTGCTTCGTAGCCGGCTAAGCCCGTGCGAGCCAGTATGCCTGGGCAATTGCGTAACTAGAACACATCATTCTGATTTCAGTATTGCCAAGAAGTCAAGTCCGTTGACGAAGGGCCTGCTGGGTTCATTCTTTCAAATGTGGTAAACTGTGTACTTCCGAAGCTTTTTGTGCGGCCAAAATGATCTGCCGGGCAGGACCGTGTTGGGGAATATACTACAGCCAAAATGGTCTTGAGCTCGAACATGCCTGCAAAGGGCAGAATGAAGACGCTATCGCCTATCCAGAGCTGGGAGCTTGTGGATCTGTAAACATCATCGGAACTTCAACTCCCTGCAATGGAAATGCCTGTCCAGCTGTGATGTACATTGACTGTGAGGAGGTCTCAGCCAGTCGTTGAATGCCGAGTAAGCTACTCCATTGAACCAGTCTTCGAACTCAAAGGATTCGACTTGGCACGACTAGTCAAGCTCTTGGCCATACAAAGCACCTGCGCTCAATGTCAGGCGATGTACGCGTAAAGTGTAGACAAGACTCGGCTTACAACCAGGCCAACACGACATCTGGAGCATATCAGCACTAACGGGTGCCAGAAATTCCGTTTAATGAACACCAGCTCCCCGCGGGAACAGGTGTGCCAGAGTGGAACCCAATCGGCCGCTCTCCGTCTTGGTGTTCTTACAATGGCCAATGATGTAATCGAGGTACAGCCTCAACTCCACACATTTGAAGTGGTACGACAAGAGCTTTTTGAGAAGGTGGGATACGTGCTCCATTGTTTGAATCCTTCTTGCGCTCGATGTAACATTTCCATGTTACATTGTCTTACTTTCCCTATGAGTCGCGGCGGACGGGTGACGATCCTAGCGCAAGTGCCGGAGCCAAGTCGGCGTCTAGCGGAATCCTTCCCATGCGGGGAAGCGGAGGGTCGGTGGATTTGACCACGAAAGTTCTCTTCCATTTTCGGCTTCTTACATGCAATTCCTGCACAGGACATCGAATCCAGCCTCACATTACTTTGCCAAGACCCCGGCTGATCTTACATCGTACTCGGACCTTTTTATGGTCTCCGAATGATTTTCACGACCATCACAATCTGAGCATGTCGATTCTCATGCAAAGCTGCCGAGGTATCTCACCTCACGAGTACTTGGGCAATCTATTTTTCTGCTCCGGATACTGCACTGAAGAGAAAACCTCCAGACTGCGCCGAAGTCTCTGTTGACACCTCAATCATCTCGCATACACAACAAACCGCTAACCGAAAGCCTGCAATGGAAAGCCGGTTCCTTCGTCTGCTCTGGAATGCAGACATGATGGCTATATTGCGAGGTTCAAAACCAATCGCATGGTTCTTGACCTCCTACCCAGCTTTTGTACTTACGGCGCACAAAAAGCCAGGTCCACGACGATGGGCGCTACTCCCTTTCAACATCATGGGGCCGCTGCTCTGCTTCAACAGCGCTGGCACACTGGCAGCAGGTCTCGACTGGCTTTGGGCTTTCACATCCATCATTTACATGTTCCACGTCACGTCAGCTCTCTACATTGAGTGCTGGGCCCCAGGAAGCACAGAAACAACTGGCTGGAGCCTTCTCGCCTGCTACAAAGTATGGATGAACCCTAGGCGTCTGAACATTCCCGCTGTCCCCGTAACTCGACATAGCTCCCGGGTCGGCTTCGTTTCTCAAAAACTTGGACTTCTAATTGCTTTATGGACATCGTACCATTTTCTCGAATTCGTCATTCTCTTGGCCATCAACCCTCGGCCAAATGACTTTACCGCGAAAACGAGGAGCTATGTCCATCTGACGGCAGATCGAGGAATGATGCTACGCGTCATATACGCATTCCACTGGGCATATTTGACGTATCTCATTCTCGTCGTTGCCAATGCTCTACTCGCTATTGTTTTCGTTGGTGTCCTACAGTTTGACGAGCCGGCGGACTGGCCTCCCCTGTATGGAAGTCCGCTCAAGGCTTACTCACTGAGGCACTTCTGGGGCGCCTTTTGGCACAAGATAGGGTCCACATCGCAGGCAATATGGGGTCGAACTATCGCAAGAAGTGGTCTGGGTATCGAGGTCGGCTCAAAGAGTGAGAAAATATTCGTGGCATTCTGGGTATTCGCCGTCTCGGGAGCTACACATATTGCCGTAAATTGGGTTACGAAAGCGACGGCCCCTGTGGAGGATCTCATGGGAGACATGGTCTTCTTGATGCTGAACTTTTTCGGTGGACTATTTGAAGTCTGCTTGACTCGCTTGTTGTTCACGAAGATGCAGCAGCGCAAAGAAAGCTCGCCATGGTTCGGCCTGTTGTCCAAGGGTCTCGGCTTTTTCTGGATGTTAGTCTTCTTCTACTTTACCGTGCCACCGTGGCAATATCCATACCTCTATGCGGATGCAAAGAGTCGGAGGACTGGCTTCACGGTCAACGTAGATATTCCTGCGCGATCGGCAAGAGCTGCTTGACCTAGGTCACATTTATATGACTTGATCTTCCCATGTCATGTTCTCAGGGTTGTCTGAGCCTCACATGTACTGGCATTCCGTCCTTCGTGTGTGGTGTCCCTGCACCGCTCTGATATGCTCGTTCGCCATCAACCACATCTTTTGGCCCAGTGTTGCCACTGCAAATATCAAGTCAGTTACGGAATTCATGAGTGGTTAGAGGTTTACTCTTACCTTTGAATATCCCATTTTTCCCATGCGCATTCGACGTCCATCTCTCTGATCACAAGCGCGACAACGAGCTTCAGCTCCATCAGTGCCAGCTCTTGACCAATGCAATTTCGAGGCCCTAGTCCAAATACGCGCCACGAATCTTTGCCTGGGCACAGCGCATCTTCATGATCAGTTATGAGCCATCGCTCGGGGAGAAACTCGTCGGCGCGATGCCACTGCTCTTCGGCCCGGACTTTCGAACGAATGCCATCCCAGATCATGAACCCGTCGGTGGGAAGGCGCATGCCATTTGTAGGATCCGTCATGAAGAAGTCAGCAGATCCGTTCCGAATACCGCCAGGGCCGGGAAATATACGGAAGGTTTCCTTGATGACCGCGAGCGTGTACGGGAGTGAGTTCAGCAGATGAGGCGCCTGCCTGATTTTCTCGCGCGTCGCATGCCTTGTCGTTCCAAAGACGGAAATGTGCTCCTGTCGGATGCGCTCCGCAACCCGAGGGTGCTTGGCAATGCTGTACAGTAGCCAGCAGATGGCTGTGGCGGTGGTGTCGTGACCAGCGAAAAGAAAGATTTTCAGCTGCGCAAGCACCGAGTCAACAAACGCCGCGTCAGGCGGCGGTATGACAGCAGCTTCGTTGAACTCCTTTGCGTACGCCTTCACAGCCAGGTCAATGATCGTTCTCGCGGTTGTCTCCTTGGCGCGATCAGGACGGGGGCTGCGCTCCACAGCAGGCAGAAGAACGCCTCGCATAGCGGCTGTGTTCCTAGCTATGGAAAGGTGACGTCGTGGCGAAAGCATCTTGGGGAGCGTTAGGATGTTGTAGTCGAACATGCAGAGCGAAAGCTGGTCAACAAGCGCCTCCTTCAGCACAGAAGGTCCGGCACGCTGCTCGTTCAGTGATATATCGAGAACTGCACGAGCAATCACGTCAAATGTGAGGTTGGTTGTCAGCGTCTCGAGCTGCAAAACAGGGCCCCATGAGTTAGGTTTCTCTGACGTGCCAGCATGCTCGCGGAGTATGTCGGCAAAGGTGGCAACCTCATCAAGGATGGCCGGGGCAAGTGTCATGAGATTCTTGGCACTGAAACCAGGATTGAAGCGGCTGCGCCATGTCTTCCAAAGAGTGCCTTCGAGAGAGACCAAATCAAGGTTGTGTGTGAGAGGAGCCAGGTATTTCTTCGCGTTAGGAGGGCGAGGGAGCGACGGCTCGACGATGAACTGGTTAGCGAGGAAGGCGTCAGTGATGAAAAGCAGGGGCGGCGCGATCGGCCACATATCGACATAGAGGGCGCCGGGGCATGATGCGCGGTCGGGAAACAGTGTCCGCCAATTTTGGTAGATAAGCTGAGAGATGTAGTTGGGATGAAGGTCCGTAGGCAACCCGCCCGTGAGTTTAGCAATGATGCGAAGATGGCCCGTCATGAAGGCATGAGGCATCAACGGCTGTCATGTAGTCAGATTTGGAACCTTTTAGACATTTGATCTCAAGCCAAGCAGAAGTGTGCCCCTCGGCCTAGACACAGTATCACGATGCATTCCAGACTAAGCTCGCTGAAATAATAACACTTACCACGCCCTGTGCCCTTAATCGTCGAAATTTCAGCCGGACCTGGACAAGCCTTGCGACCAAGTAACCAAGACCGGTCAGCAGAACCAAGAAACTTAACCGAATTGAAAATTTCGTTAAAGAGCGTCTGCTCGACACGTTGACATCCGTGTCATACATCATGATGGGAACAGTCTCCACCAGAGAGAAGCGCCCTGCTCTGAGTCGCCTGTGGTAATTGGGTTTGCGTGCTGGTGGATGTGCACCAACAACGGCTGTGAACCAAGTTGCTGGATGCGTTTGTGATTAGTTGAACTCCAGATATTGATTGGTACGCGCCTGTGGTGCACTACCTAGACAACAAATGGGTCAGAGGCGCTAGAATGTCGCAATACACACCACTGGCATGTCATGTCTACAAAGGAAGACCACGATTTTTCAACTTCGAGAGACAGAGCAGTATGATAAAGGACAACGTGGCGGGGAAGCGGGGAAGTGGCGTTCTCTACCAGATTCTTTTCTTTGTACCGGATGCATGTCATGTAGTGACACGCCAGCCATCTTTTAGGCCCTAAACTCGAGGCTGCAACGATTATGCAGTCCTCCATTCAATAGTTAAGCAAAGCGAACTAGCGCCCTGGTCTGCAACATGCTCCCTGACGGACGGCATCCTCCCGTTTGGCCTGGCGAGGTCCGCTAAAGAGCCGGCTTGCAGCGCAGCGGCGTTGGCCTAGCACTGTCGGGGCATCAAACTGTCCGAGGAGGTGGGGGGATCGACAGGGCTATTGTGCTCTCGGGTTGCATATTTGCGCCTCATCCATGTGACGCAGGGCTACTGTGATAATCACGTTTCATGATTAAAAACATGGAGGTTCTTGGCGGTACCACGCGTTGAAGGCATCTCGAGTGCGATTTGTTGCTATTGAAAAGCTGAACAGGCGCTTGCGACTGCGGTCCCTGTCCTCGTGAATAGGCACATGGATCGAGTCGAATCCCGGCATTGAGATCATCTTCGTGACAACAACGCTGCATCATTTGGCATTACTCATGCCATACAGGTACGAAGCTCAGCCCCCTCATGCAGAGCTACAGCTCCTGGTAGCACAGAAAGCCAGCATTTGTTCTTCCATTTCTCTGTTCGTTTCATCGCACTGGCACCTGGAAAGAGAACAGACTTTGTAATGTTTGCTTCTCATTCATCGTACCACCACGACCACCGATCCGACTCTTCTGCAGCATAGCATAGCGTCTTCGTTGAGAGAGCAGACTTGGAGCTCAAGCCTAATGAGAGAATAATTAGTGTTCGGGGGTGTTGGAGGCCGATTAACCAACCAACTTGATCGACTGATGCACCATCTGAATCCTTGGGTCCTGAATCAGCGTATCGAAAACTAAGCTCATGGTGATGAATTTTGAAGAAGAAACGGCCCGGAGATGATTCCTGGGCCCCCGTCGTCAGTCGTGAGCGCAGCGCCACATACCGCTGATCTGACTCGACAGACCCCTTTCTTCCTGCACGTATCCATCCTCCCACCCCAGCTGCACGCAATACGTCAGCTGCTTGCACGAGGTCATCAAGTTCTGCTTCATCTCGATTCCCCGACAATTGTTCCCTGCTTGGCGAGGAAGTAGCGCCATCGGATTCAGGTTCACTCGTCAGATTGACCACGTTGCTCAGTTCCTGGTATCCGCCATGAATCTCAAGCGCTGAGAGCGTGCATCACAGGGCGCATCTGGCTCGGTGCGCTCAAGATCCTGACTGTACCCACCTGCCAAGGCGGTAACAAACCCTGCCCACGCAGTTTCAAGAAGCCAAAACAATACAGTCCTCTCGTTTCCCATTGACCTTATTCCGTCCGCTCTACCACAGCCTCCGTCATCATGAATGAGCTTTGACATTCCTACACAGCCGGACAGCCCCATAACTTCTGCTGCTCAGCGCGTCTCAGCTCCCTGCTCCTCCCGCGTCACAGCGCTTACCCACAGACCACGCGATCCTTGGTCAAAAACGCGCGGAGTCTTAGTCGCCCGCGCGCCGTCTCTCTTGGCAGCTTCACCACGAGCGGGAGATGGGCACTGCAGCCCTGCGTGGAATCGTAGAATGCCGTCGCTCCCGCTGGGTACAGGGGCTCCATGATCGACGGTACTGATCATGCCTGCAGCACATAGTATCGTGGGGTCTGCTCCTCTTCATGGGGGATGTCGCGAACTGACGTGAATCGTATTCTTCGTGATCAACCCGAGAGCTCGACGACACTGGTCATCCCTGTCTTCAAGCGAAGACGCCGAATAACCTTACACGCCACACACACAATCAAACGCAGGCTAATTCTAGAAGAGAACAAACTTCGGGATGAAAGTAGACCAAACTGCAGTCCTGTTCGTGTCACTGTTCCGTCTCATCTCCTCCCATCTCGTCCGCAGCACATGTGGCAGGTCAGAACCAGCACGGGGACCGTGTCGCGGGTTCTAGTTTGAGGATATACCAAGAAGTGCCGTGTGCTCTTTCGCCAACGTTTCCCGCTGCGAGGCCCACTCCCAAAGTGGAGGGCCCATCGATGCTCCCTGGGGCCTTCATGAAGAAGGGCTCATCTTGACTGCGCGATTCGATTACGTCGCACAGCATTTACTCACGGTAAGGGAGAAACGAGAGGGGATTGTAGCAAAAGGACAGACGGTCACCACCTCCTGCTAGTCGCAGGTGCGGCTGGGCAGAGGGCGTGCCCGCCTCAGAACCGACTGATCTGGGGATATCACGCTCGATAAGCTTGTTTGAGATGGCTGTGCTCACGACAATCTTCGGATGAGGGGGCGACAAGGCGGAAACGCGGCCTCGCATTTTTCTTCGAGGCTCGTCAGTGAATCCACCGACGACGACCCCAACTTTCGAATACAAAAGACCATCGTGTTCGCTCCATTCAAGTAGCTTGTTGTTCATCACTCACAGCATCCGCAAGCATCAACACCCTCATCCACTTTTCACTCATCTAGAGCGTTGACGCCGCCTTCTATTCTCTTTCGTAGGTCTGGTACCATTTATTCCACTTCCACACCGTTTCACAAACAGCAACATCATAATCCATCAAAATGAAGACTTCCGCGCTCGCCTCCCTCTTCGCCATTGCTCAGCTCGTCTCGGGCCACGCGGCCATCATCGCCGCCACTGGTGACGCTGGCGGCACTGGCATGGCTCTCGGCGTCGACACGTCCACCCCACGCGATGGCACTCGCCGCAACCCCTTCCAGCAAGATGCGACTCGCTTCCGAGGTGACCAGTCTGAGACCATCGGCGAGACTGTCGGTGCCGGCGACAACAACATCGAGAGCGGCACTACCGCGATCATGACGGAAATGGGCGATCAGCTGCCGCAGGTCAGCCCTGGTGGTCAACTTGACATGACGCTGCACCAGGTCAACTCGGACGGCGGCGGCCCCTACACTTGCGCCATCAACGCCGACGGTACTGCCCAGACCTGGACCGACATTACCGTCATGCAGAGCCCGCCCGGCCGCAATTCTCGCAATCGCGTAAGTTTTTTTGATCTCGTGTGACTTCAGAGTTCATCGCTAATACATGTCGCAGGATGGCGAGCAGTCGGACTTCCCCATGGTGGCCGCTATTCCCGCTAGTCAGACCTGCACTGGCACCGTCGCCGGCCAGGAAAATGTCTGTATGGTCCGCTGCATGAACGATGCCAACGCCGGTCCCTTTGGCGGCGTCGTCCCCGTCCAGCTTGCTGGTACCGCCAATGTCACCGAGGCCCGCCGCTTGCTGGCTCGCGCCACCATGGAGAAGGCCCGCCTCTACGAGAAGATGAAGCGTGATCTTCAGTGAGATTGATACCTCGTGCTCCATAGGCGTACACGAGAGAGATGGCGCTGGCGCCTGAGGGAATCGGGTCTACTGGCTTGGACGGAATTCATGGGTTGTTGGGTATGGGGTTGCAGCTGAATCGGTCAACTGGAATGGATCACTGCAGTAATGAGAGCATCTTCCATTCATGCTAAGCGTGGCTGTAGTGGAGGCTCACAATAGTAATGGAAGAAATCTACAAACTATGTGCCTTCATATCGTATAACCAAGTTCTTTGCATCCGTTGTGCCCCCGATACCCTCGCGTGATAAGATGTAGCCGCAGTTCTGGCCAAAATCACAGTGCCTTCAATCATCACTCAGTGGACATGCCCATACACAAGTCTTTCTTGCTTGAAACAGAGACGGCTCATTCATGCACGGCAGTATGTTACGTTGTGCTTGTGTGTTGGAATCTGGTATGCTGTGGTGAACACATGGCTAGCTTGTGTGCTGCCCTTCCTCGTGACCTGGCTATCTCGGTTTGAGCTAGGGAACCCACGAGGCAAGCGTGATTGATCAAGGACACATTCGTCTCCAGGCGCTGAGAAATTTACTTTTGGAGAATGAACTCAGAATTATGAGACTGGTATGGCGCGCTCACGGACATGGTACTCGCTTGGGCACTTCCGACCGATGATTACCTCGTGTCACAAGTAATAGTCTAAAATGCCATCCAAATGATAATCACCCTCGTCAAAGTATAAGTCGACACAAGACGACTATCAGAGACACATGGAAAAGAAAGGGATGCTTGAATAGCAATGGTTATCGGGGCAAAAGCCATGCTTGTGAAACATCAAAAGGACGCCAATGGAAACAGTTTGGGCCCATGCAAAAAGGGTTGGGTCTGTGCCGCGATTCGAACGCGGGACCACCTGCACCCGAAGCAGGTATCATACCTCTAGACCACACAGACGGTGGGGATGCTTATTGGTTGTTACTTCGTCAGTCTGCTGGCACATACATATACAAACATTTCAAAGATACGATGCACTTTCTCTATTAGACGTCGATTCACGATGCTTCAGGGGCTGACATCGGGCGACTCCATGCTTTCCGCAAGAACCGGTCCACTCAAGTAGAATAAAAACACCGGAATGAAATGGCGTCGAAAACTCAACGATAAATCATGTTAGACTCAATGAAGGATGGTGAATGTTGCGTCTTGCTTTTGTGAAGGTATCCAATTGAAACTTCGTCCTGATCCGACTCATAATGTTCAATCCGAAACTATAAACTCTACAGTTCCTTGGTCAGGTATGAAGGCACATCGCGTCGCCTCTCGCCATCACTATGATCTCTTTGATGCCCAGATTTGGCCTCAGTATATTATTGTCACCGTCGTCCCAAGCAGGCCGGGCGATGATGTTGCCAGAAGCTAAGAAGGTACTTCGCTAGACGTGAACAGCACTGTGGACCACAAGTATCATGCAAGCATTCGAATGTGCGTGGTAAGTCCTGAGGCCAAATTTGGGCACCCCACACATGATGGATGAGGAGTTGGAAGTTTGGTGTGGCTACTCAGTGCCCCTCGTAAACTCCGTAGAGGCTAGTCATGTTTGGCGGTGCGACTCGTGATCTTTGATCTTCTTGACCCCACCCTCGCCCCGCCCTCACCCCGCCATCGCCCCGGGCTGTGTTGGTTTGGGGAGTATTGTGACACATCGACAAAAAGAAATGCAAAAAATGAGATGGGCTCTCGCCGCGATTCGAACGCGGGACCACCTGCACCCGAAGCAGGTATCATACCACTAGACCACGAAAGCCGTGAGGGTGCTAATTAGTTGTTGGAATCGGCGACGGCCAACGGGTTTATCATTTAATCCAGACATTGCAAAGCTAGCGTGCCCTACCATGTGGTGGAGTCGTGGCCAGCATTGGTTGCAAAAGAACGGGAAGGCAAAGCCAAACGCGTTTCCATTGTCACAGCACTCTTATTCCCTGCAGGCCTAATAGCGCACTCTGGAGCTTCGTTTCGCAGCCTGGGCTCAGCTTCGTAGCAGGCAGAAATAATACTCATGGTGTCTCCAATAGCCTCAATTCTTCGCGTTTCCGCATCGGTTGCCATATCGTGTTGGAAGCAATCTAACCTTGACTCCTGCGGATGGGACGCGTGGAGCCGCCACGGACTACACATTCAGCCCGTCGCGTTTCGTGGCGGACATGACTTCCCAAGTCGACACGCTCGGCGCACAGTTGCATCTTATACAATCGCGACCCTTATAACACCAATGAACGTGCTTTTTCCTGGCTTCTTGTCAAAGTGAAAGCTTAGAGGCTCGTCCTGCTCTCGTATCGACGTCACGAGCAGCCTGCCTTCTGAACCTCGCTCTGGGCTTCCGTTTCTACTAGCCATGTCCGCTGTAGCTTCATCCTGTTCAAAATCAAGCGACCTGTGTATAGGTCTGCAGATTCGTCTCAACCTGGAGCGCAAACACCATAATCCAGACTTGACGCCAACTCACCCAAAACGCAGGACTTCTGATCGTAGTGTTTTGAGTTTTGTAGGATGACGTTCAATACGTTCCGAACCATTTTATACCCGTCAGTTCTGTGCCCACAAAGGTAGTCAAGCTTCTGATACGCCATACATGACCAACACTGGCAGATAGTAAGATGGCCCTCTCTGCATACTGGGACTCAAATGCTTCCATGCATCCAGCTCATCGGACTCGTACACAACACGCCCCTGCAACGAGACGAAACGGCCCATGGCTGCCTGACCTTCAGCGTCAAACAACTGTCACTACAGGTGAAAGATGACAACGCGCACGCTTCATCCACGGCACATTAATCAGTAGTCACACCTCAAAGCATGCTGGAAAGGGATACAATATCCAGCTATTTACTCTCGACAAACTGAGACAACAGAGCGCCAACATCACCTCAACGTCATATTCTTCCCCACAGGACAATCTCACTCCGTTGGCTTGCCAGACTAAAGCTGAGCTTTGCACAGCCAAGGGAGCCACGACGGCTACACTAAAGACCTATAACCCGTAACACTTGAGCATGGCACCCAAGGTGATGCTCGACAAATGATGGCGCCATGAGTCATTGATTCGCATCCGTAGAGTTACAGATGACCATTTAGTGAAGCCGTGGATCATCTGTTATGTTCAATCCGAACGTCGGAACGCTCGACCTCACCATGGCTGACAGCTGGCGAGACGCAAACCTCCCACAAGGGAGGAAAACTGATCCTGAACTTACCAGAGATGACAAGTTTGATCTGCTCCTTCATAGTCTCTTTGACCTTCGGTCCGCAGCTCCATGCTGTCATCCAAAGGTCATGGCTTAGGGGCTTGAGTTGGACGTGAAGGTTTCATGTTTATGCCCTCAGGAGTTTGCAGGAGAAATGAGCTCTTGGAACGCACACACCATACGAACAACATCTGTTCACAGATTTAGAGGATGAGATGAGACTCACAGCCGAATCCTTCACTTGACGTCATTGGCAGGAACATAGAGTCTCTAGGTCCTTCGCCCACCGTCTCACAAAGTGCGCCTCAGTTATTGTGCCTCCACTGGAGTAAAGATACGGAACCGCTTATCAAACCAAGAAACACTCATCAGGTTATGCAGAATATCACACGACATTGATACCGCTATGAAGGGGACATGCACAGTTTATGAATTACGTGTAATACTTGTTAGTAACTTCTACTCACATGGCCGATGGTATTAGATAGGTTTCTCTCAACATGAAGATGTTCTTGGACTCAGAGTTTCGTCAATCTTCTAACGCCAAGGGCGAGTACTCATCAACGTTCAGCTGTGACACAACGAGCATCCAAGTAGATTTTCCATTGCTGTAAGTTACAGTAGCAAAAGCATATCATGTTCTTGGGATATCGTCTTTGCACCCGTCCCAGATAGTGCTCCATAACCTTGTCCCCATAATCTGATTAAAGTCCCTCGACTCGACTGCCCCGTCCGCTCGGGGCGCGAGCCATCCCTCCCGTCGTCCTTCGAACGAGTTAATCCTCACATCGGATCCTTTGACCTCCGGGGCACCCGACGCTTTGTCAATAGGCTGTCCCGTAAACATTGCCAGCTCTACTTCGAAGGTCATCTTTTGACCTTTTGTTGTTGTGCAAGTCTGCTGCTGACTAGGGCAACCTCAGTCATGGCAGTCTGCGACAAGGCCCGTCGCCGGCGTCTGAGAGGTGTTGTCAGGGCTGTGCGTCAGCTGTCCGCTGCCGTGACCGTGTCCCACCAGTGCGACGTCTGTCACAGCAGGCTCCAGCGCCGTTGCCGACGTGCGGCGTAGAGGCTTGCAGCGACCGTTCGAAGAAGGAGATTGACGGAGGGAGGCAAGCACAGATGAGGCCTACTGTGAGCTCGACGCATCTACATGCAATCAGTACATGGGCAGCTGGCGGGAGCAAAGAGATACATACGTCGTCAAGCCAAGAACGCCAAAGTCGGCTGTTACGTCCTTGGAGCCGACGAACTGGACTACCCTGATCAAGCGGAAGATGGTGACGGCTGTTGCGGCACCGCGCGGCCCCCAAGCATGAAGGATGATCTTGATTTTCTTTCTCAGAGGCAGGTTCAGCGACCAGGTCATCGGGATGGGGAGGATGATAATAACGAGGTCCGGCCATGACGGCGATGGACAGGTCGACGATGAATACTCTGCGCTGATTGATGCATCGTCCCGATACGGAAAAGTCCCAATATGAGTTGATCGGCACGCAAATGATGATCTTGATGGTCTGCACGGGGGTGTAGAGGAGGAGCAGTGCCCAGAGAAACCAGTGGATGCCTTTGGCGACGCGCTCATTGACGGCGAAAACGCGGGCAATCAGCAACAGGAGGGTGACTTTAGTGAGGTATGCCGCTGGTATGTAGACGATGGAACTCGCATAGAGCCACTTCATCGATCAGTTGTGGCTATTTCGTAGGCAAAGGGCGGACGTGGGCTCACCTTGAGCACTTCAGAGTAATTCTCCACCGTCACTTCCCAGGCGTAGTGCCCAAGACCGTAATGGATCACTGCGATGAGTTGAGCATGAGAAATGAACAGGTTGACCATGCGTGTCTTGCTCACTGGTGAACACGGTCGCGGAATAGACCAGGATCAGAACCCAAGATACCAAGCACGCCCCTGGGCGTTCTGTTAGCTTTCGTTATCTCCAAATCGAAAGGTTTGTCTCGCCCATACAGTCGGCCAACAGAATGCGGCGATTGACAAAAACTTTGACGTAGCCTCGCAGAGAGACAAAAATGGTGACGAGAACATTGCAGACAATCAGCCCAGCCAGAACCACCACCCTGCCTGCGTCTCGTGGATGGTCAAAGTCTGGTGTGACGCCGGGCGGCGGCGGTAGGTACCCAAGCTGTCGAGAGGGCTCGCTATCGGAGGATGCCATGTTCCCAGCCCTTGTCAGGAGGTTCGGGCCGTTGACGACTGGCTGTCCATTCTCGTCGATGGTGGATCGGGAGAGGCTTGAATGGACAGTGGCGACCAGGGGATTTTTCGCAATATGATCTATCGATTCCACGTTCAACTCGAGCTCAATAGAACAACCAGCAAAGTAGGCGTGGGGGAGAGAGGGGACGTCACACAGTTATGGGAGCAGATGTGGTAGAGGGCCCGTTGGGGGCGTGGCTGCCATGGCCCGCACACACACAAAGACAAATGGGACACTGACAAGGCTCGTCCACGCATGGACGAGATAGCCAGAGGCCGGCCCAAAGCTAGCTGAATGTGTTTTGAGCTCGGATGATCTACATGGACAGAAAGGTCCGGCTCAGGCGGGGGAGCCCGATGGCATCGCGGCGAGTCAGGCACTTGAGACCTTGAGGCTTCGCGTCCGCTGCGGAAGGTCGCTGGAACTCCGTGTAGCGCAGGAAGTCACAGGCGGCGGCGAACTCTAATGCGGCAGAATGGGCTCCCTCGAAAGGTCCGTGGCCACAGCCACAGGTCCTTTTTGAGTTTGACTCGCGCGTCCAGGGGTCCCTAGGGCTGGGCCCGTTCACCTTCTAGAAGCCTTTCTTTTGCTGCCCATTGGCGAATCTTCCACAACGCATGGGAGGGGTCCGGCTTGAGACGCGGTTGGTTCGGGGCGCCAGGCCCTGATGCGCGCCTCGAATCGAGCTACAGACAAGCTTTCACGTACATGGGATCAGATTTAGCCATGCCCAATCCTTATCATGGTCCCGCTGATTGTTGGATTGGCGTGTTAGATGTGAATGATGGCCAGGATGCACAAGTCGCATGGTTGGTAATCAGAACAGGATCGGCATTATGATGGCGAACGGTTCGGGCGATGTTCTCCACGGGTTGCGACCCTTGAGCAAAGACGCTCCGAGTCGTGCTACAGAACTCCAGGGTCTGCTGGCAGTTGCTAGTTGTCCATGTAACTGCGTCTGTCCGCGATCCATGAGCAGTTGTTTATTATTTTGTCCGGACCGTCTGGTCAGGCAAGCCTCTTGTCAGGTAGCGCCTTGCCATCATTCAGCCCTTCATCCGAAGACGTCCAACGCCAGCAGCAGGTCTTCTTCTGCACCATTCAAGGCTGAAACTAAAAGAACATCTTGCAGATGAGGCAATGAAGGGAAGCGATGAGAGAACCCGGGGTGGAGAATCGCAAGGCTGGGCGCCGATGAAATTGCTCCCAGAGCTCGCCCTCGGCGAAAGCGGCTCTACAAGATGACGTTTCTACATGTAGGTGCAGCGGGTAGCAGCCAGCCGCAAACCAGCCGCACGGGGATCAGAGCTCTCGTTCTGGTGCTTGATCACCCGGAACAGGGGCCGCGGAAGCGGACGAGGGTCCAACATAATTTTCTGGATCGAATTGCTATTCGTGCTCACGATCGGAGGATTCCCCCCCGTCACCCGAGTCATTGATATGATTTACGGACTTTTGTCGCACGAGAAGCGTCCGGTTCGAGTCAGAGTCAGGGTGTTTCACGGTCTTGGCACATGACACTTGTTCCTCATGCGTGGTGTAATAACTGCCAGCACCAGGTGGGCAACATAAGGTATCTACACAAGTCAGATGTGTCGTGAGACGCACCGAGGACCATGTTGTGTGGGTAGTAAACACTAATGTATGCAGTCGACATAGTCATATGACGATTGAAAAAGTCCATTTGGTGCATTTGATGATAGCAACCAGACATCAAAGCTACGTCGGATCATGCTCGCCTCGGCATGGGCATGGCTGATTCTGGCTGATTTTGCGGAAGAGGCATCGTGGACCTGGATCTCGGACTATGGCCCAGAAGGTGGGGTTGATGGGTTATGTCATCAGTGACCGACATCCGAGTCTGGCTTGTGCTGACTCTAGAGATGGACAAGAGGTATTCTGGCGTAGAAGATGTGTGCCTCGAGTCATCTTCCTCCTATAAACCACATCCGCCGAAGCCGGCAGTGAAGTGTCGGAATCTGGGTCGCATCCTCGGTCAAGGTGCGGCAGTATCGGGACAGTTTGTCTGTTGATGCTCGATTGCTTTGCACCTTTCCACCTGCATTATTTTTCGCTCATTCCCCGAGTCAGTATTCCAGGACAAAGTGCCGCTTGCTTCTGTACAATTCAGGATTTCAGAGTCAAAGGACGGTCCACCTCCATAATGGTACGTGGAAACCTGACGAGAATCGGCATCTCGCCGATCACATTACAGCAGCATCTACAGCTGGTAGCTCATTCACAAATAGTACGTGAACGCAACTGGGAAATGGTTCTTTCTTTTCAACTGGCATTAGTATGCGTACCACCTCAGGGGGGCGCATGTCAGCGATATAAGATGAAATATGAGCGGGTCCATCCACCTCGACTACTGTTTTGCAACCAGTGTCCCCAGCCCATCTGCATCATAGTTCACCGATTCTATCGAGAAACGTTGACAGCCTTTCCACAATACATCCAGGCCATGAACTCAACCTCACATACTGCCTTATCTTGCATATTGTTGCCACGAGTGGGTCCAGTAAGGAGATCAATGCTGGTCACCGCCTAATCCCCCGTACTATCCTTTACATCTCTCCACAGGCCTCGTATGACTCGATTCACAGTTGTCCCATGTCTGGATTTTCTGAGGAAGCCGTGTGCTTGTCGATGTACTCCGGCAACAGCGTATTGTCCGCACCTGTGGGATAGAATGGTCTAGTCGATGACGGGTACCTCGCCTACGTCTGCCAGAACACTCCAAGACTGTACGGCTCCAGAGGCCGGAATGACCGTGCCAAGTCCCTGTAGTGACTCACTGCCAGACACCGAGGGAGGTTTCCTAACAGGGGTCATCGCCGGGTTGACTCTCCACAAACAATGCTCCCAAGAACAACCATCCGCGAGACCCCGGAAAGCCGTCACATATCAGACCAGATATTAGTTACCAGGCTTTTAGACGGACACATTATAACAAGGAACATGAAAAACGGATAAGCATGTACTGCTTTCAAAAGCTACAACAGAATCGTATTGCCGAACCAATAAAATAAAATGAGTCATACCGTCCATCATGTTCCGTACTGTACATAACGCCATTGATGCCAAAGGCCCGCCCCTAGATGCTTATTGTACAAGTTCCCCCACTAGCCCCGAGCTGATGCGCGCACGCCGTGTGTAGACAAGGGGAGTAATCGAAATAGGAAACCACAGATGATACTGGAAGGCTTCCAGTCGCTAGAGAAACAAAAGCTACTGGTTTCGAAGGGTGGCGGAAGCGCGACGTTCTGCATGGCATCCCGGGCATCCTTTGTTGTACAGATGCAATGGCTTCAACCGAAGGTGCGGTCCTGCACCTCATGTTCTGCCGCTTCGGGGGTTGTAGACTGTGGATGCGCTGGCTGCGGTCACTGCACCATGTCGCTGACCTGCAGCTTCAGCCAGCGGGCTCGTACCGACAACTCATCGAGCCCGTTTCTTTGAACCGGCCGGCGAGCGACGCTTCTTCTTGCTCAGTTGACCATATGCCGTTTCAAATGCCTGTCGTGATTAGCAGCAGACCTGAGAAACCCAGGCACCCCCTTGTACATACCTTGACAGAGCCCAGAAAACGCAGGATGCGGTCCTCAATCTCGAGCCCGTTCGACCTGTCCTCATTCACTTTGGCCGCCACGAGCCTCGAGACGACACCAACATATTTCGCTGCGCTGATGCCCATGTCCTCATTGGTGATGGATGGGTTTTGCATCTGCGTCAGGACGATGGCCATCCAACGCTCAAGACCGGACCACTGCAGGACGTGCCCGCCGAGCGCCAGCGTCTGAGGCGCGCGTATGCGAAAGACAAAGTGGATGGTACCTGAGACGAAGAAGACGGTCTGGCCGGGCTTGAGCACGGTGTAGCCCCAGCGGCGCCGGTGTAGGAGCCCGGATTGGCGATCCAGGGGGGCCCCTCCGTGGTCCGTGGGGCCGAAAAGCCAGCCGAACCCGATTTACCCCCCCTGTCCCGGTAATCCAGGCCGAGAAAGCCGTGCCTGCCCGTGGGGGGGGCCGGGTTGTGGCCCGCCCCTGGAACATGGGGACCCATTCAAGCACGTCCCGCCATTCGTTCAACTGTCGGCTGGAGGCGACGACCCTCTCGGCAATTCTCCTTCCATGAGACCGGTGTCGCGGACTTGGAGGAGCAACTGGGAATTCTCGCCCGAAAAAAAACTCGGCAGGATCGCCGACGGAAGGGGCTCTGTAGGTCGAGAATGTTCCACGGGTCGTCGGTGCTCTCGTCGGCGAGGTAGCGAGACTTGACCTCGCTCAACTTGCGGACCTCGAACGACTCCGAGAGGGCGCTGCGCGAAGGGATCTGGACCGAGATGAACCTGTCGAGGTTTCCCATGCGACGGAGAAATTGAGCGATCGGGCGCTCCCTCGTCTTCCAGCGGAACTGTTGCTGGCCGTCGGTGACAATGGGTGCGCCGTGCGGGGACTCAAAGTCGACGAGGGCCTCTGCTTGGTCGCCGCTGCAGAACAGCATCTCGATGGCGCCCTTGTCGCGGGACGTGTTTGGCGGCTCAGCCTTCTCGAGAAGTTCCTGAATCAGTCTGTTGGTTCCCTCGCCATGCGTACTCCGTGGGAAGATCGTGTCCTCGACCGTCTGCCGCAGCTCGCTTAACACTTGCTTTCGATAGGCCTCATCGGCATCGCGGTCATGCAAGGCCCGCCCCTGTGACGCTGTCCCAAGTGGGCTCTGGTCGTCGACTCGCTGCCTCTTTGGCCTGTGCTCATCGACACTGCGCTGGGCGGCAGATGCAGCAGACGTGGTGGGGTTGGTTGGGTTAGTTTCTATCGCCGTGGTTGGAGTGATATGGGGCTGGATGTTCATTGCCGCAGCGGTGTGCTCGGCGAAATGTTGCAGATGCGGCCGGCAGAGCTTGCCAAGCAAGGGAATCAGTTTCGTCGCAAAGGCTGGTGTGAATGCCGTGGGAATGTCGAGGGCCAAGAGAAGCATGGATGGGACGTCATCGGGACAGACACATCGGGGGTCTGCCGCCACGGGTGTTGCTGGAGGCGGGTGGTGACCGCGTATCTCGCCTGCCGGGTTCTCAGAGCACCCAGTGCTCTGAGTGGCCGGAACCTTCGTCTTCGGGGGCGCCAGTGTCGTGCGCTCACGAGGGATGGGCACCAACCGGTAGGGCGACCACTGAGGGGTTGCTGCCACCGCCGCCGTTGCCGCCGCCGCCGCCGTCGCCGCCGTCTTGACGCTCTCCCGTATGGAGCGTACCGGCGTGATGAGGCTCGTCGCCGGCCAGCTCACAGGCGACGAGGAGGCACTCTTGATGGGCGGCCAAGCATGCTCCAGCGGAACCATGAGGTGAAAGTCGTCAAAGCCGTAGCCCGGAGGCAGGTCCTCTTCGCGCAGGTGTTTCCGCGGGTAGGTGCCGTTCTCCCACCACTGCATGATGCGCTGGAGATCCTCGACGTCGATATGATTTGAGACATCCGCGCGGCGGATGCGACGGCGGCTGGGTTGCGACGCGCGCCTCTGTGCACCTGTTGAGCGCGACGACGGCGTTGTCAAAGGTGGGGATGACACGAGCGGCGAGGCGAACATGATGGCAGTACTCTGGGCCACCGAGGACCAAGTCGTAGTGAAGCACAACGTGGCGGCCCCAGCGATGGGCGACCTCGGTCAGGGCGTCGAGACATCGAAGGCGCGCGGCGTAGCCGATGGAGGCGAGGCCGAAAAAAAGGGGGCCCCGGGGGCCACGTGATCCTTCCCGAAAGGTCAACGGCAAGCGGCAATCGGAAGGGCGTCCAGCCATGTCGACCCTCCACCTGGAAGTACCTCGGCGCAGGCCTTGGCGGTGAGGCGCTCGGCGCAGGCGACGAGGATCTCATGGCCGCCCTCGTGATCGATGAGCTGGTCGCCGCAGCGCGAGGCAGAGACGGTCCCGATCAGAGGCGCTCCCACAGCGGTGCAGGGCGTCGCGAAAGGCATGCAGCCGTCGCAGCTGGTCTCGCGTCAGGACAAGGGCGTCGTCGTCGTCGTCATCCTGGTCCTTGGCCGGGGGTGTCTGGAGTTGTGGGGCAGGCGGGGTGGATGCGCATGTGCGCGCGTGGGAGACGGATGCCATCTGATGGCATGCATGGAGCTAGATGAGGATACTGGGGGGGGGGGGCGATGAAGACTGAAGAAGGGTGCGGTTGACGGTCGATTGTTCACGTGGCAAGAGGGTTGTGGTGATGGTGAGAGAAGGCTCGCGAGTAGCGACGAAAGGCAGGTCGTTGGTGAGGCTGGATCGAGATTGGGATGTCGCTGGTGTTGGCGGTGACTGCCGCAAACCGCAAACAAAGGCAGCCCCACATCGTTAGCGCACCCTGGCGACAGCTGTCAGCTTCCTTCTTGGTTGCTCAAGCACTGTCGTACCTTGGCTACCTAGGCAGACAGATTGCATCGCTGCATTGTTGACAGTTGCTGCCAAATGGTGGTATATGTATATATATATTTATTTATTTATTTAGCATCTATCTCTGGGGGAAAACTCGAAACCAGAATTGCAAAGGCGAACGATGGAAAGCCTAGCATCACCTGTTGACCAGGCCTGCTACCTCACTTCAAAGTGCATACCAGTAGTGAGCACAAGCACAAGCTATATACTTAAGTACTCACCTTAAGTGCTTAAGGTGATAGGGCACTTAGGTATCTAGGTAAGTACCTAAGGAGTATCTGGCCGACAAAACTGTCCACAAAACTACCCACCAAGTGAGAGAGCACCGAAACTACCAGTCAATCAGCGGCGACCCATGCCTCGCTGTCGCGTACTAGGCCTACAGTAGAGACTTTTGGTAGGCCATTTTTCTGTCGTTGGCTTAGTAGGTAGCCACCAGCAGAATCCGAGTTCCGTCCACAACTCCGAAGCGGGGACGGTCCCTCGTCATGATGATCATGGCCATCCACTCAACCCACTGCGCGACCCTCCGTATTAGCAATCACCTCCATTTTCAAGAGGCACGCCGCTGCATGGATATATAAGACGCATGCCGCTATTCATTGTCCCTCGACACGACGCCTAGTATCAATCCCATCCCTCAGACCAAAAAAAAAAAATGGCCGGCATACAAGCGCAAAAGTGGCAGACCAAGCTCGATGGCCTCGAGAACCTTTCTAGGGCCGCCGGCGCCATGCCCAAGCCCAGCAAGGGCGAGGTCCTCGTCAAGATCAGTGCCGTGTCTCTCAACTACCGTGACACCGAGGGTAGGTCTTCGCGTCACGCGTAAGAACAAGAAGGGTCGCTCACACACACACACACACACAGTCATCATGGGTCTCTACAACCACCACAAAACAGTCAACGCGGGTGACATTGACCCCCTCGTGCCCTGCTCCGACATGTGCGGCACCGTCGTGGCCGTCGGCGTCGACAACGACAACGACGCCCCGCTCTGGGCTGTCGGCGACCGCGTCCTCTCGACCTTCAACCAGGCCCACCTCACGGGCCAGATCAAGGCGCCCATCATGGCGTCGGGCCTCGGCCTGCCGCTCGAGGGCGTGCTGCAGACGCACCGCGTCTTCCCCGCGACGGGCCTCGTGCGCGCGCCGAGCCACATGTCCGACGAGGAGGCGGCGTGCCTGCCCATCGCCGCCGTCACGGCCTGGATGGCCATCAACCAGTTCCGCCCCCTGGGCGCGCCCGGCGGCCCGCGGCGAGACGGTGCTGCTGCAGGGCACAGGAGGCGTCAGCGTCAGCGGGCTGCAGATTGCCAAGGCCCGCGGGGGCGACGAGTATGTTTTGTTCCCCTGCTTGTCGGCCTTGTTTCTTTTTTCCGTTGTCGGCTTTTCTTTGCTCTAGACCGCCCCTGAAAGCCCTTTGCACCGCGTGCCCGCTAACAGTCCCAGCCATCATCACGTCGTCCTCGGACGCCAAGCTCGAAAAGGCCAAGGCCCTCGGCGCCGACCACGTCATCAACTACCGCACGACGCCCGACTGGCAGGCCCAGGTCATGGCGCTGACGGGCGAGGAGGGCGCCGACGTGATCCTCGAGACGGGCGGCGCGCAGACGCTGCGCAAGTCGTTCGACTGCGTCGCGTACGGCGGCGTCATCGCGTGCATCGGCTACCTGTCGGGCAAGCAGGACGAGGCGGGCGACCGGACCAACGTCAACCTGCTGGCGCTGGCGCGCAACGTGACGCTTAAGGGCATCCTCAACGGGCCGCGCGACCGGTTCGAGGAGATGGTGCGGTTCTACGAGGCGCACGCCATTCGGCCGGTCGTCGATCGCGTTTTCGGGTTCGAGGAGGGCAGGGAGGCGTTGCAGTATCTGTTCAGCGGGTCGCACTTTGGCAAGGTCGTGGTGAAGGTCGATGTGTAAAAGTCTTAAGGTACCTAGGAGGTAGGTAGCGGAGGGAACGGGGCATACCAGGTACCTAGGTCCTAGGGGTGTGCCACTCGGCCAAAGAAATACCCGTTAAGAGCATAGCAGTAGGCTCCTCAGCCGTGAGGGTTAGGGTTGCAGCCTTGCTGGTCCCACAGCACACCGTACTACCATTTGCTGCAATAGCCTGCCGGATACCTCGGTCACATGCCTCCAAGCTCTGCACACCTCCACACTCCTCCCTCTCTCTCCACCTGAGTACCAAGGTAGGCAATACACCACCATGCATACATCCCAGACCCCGGCCAACCGCCGAGCTTGTCAGACTGCGGGGCCGAGGCTCCTCCTGCGTGGGCATAGTAATCGAGGGTCTTCAACCCCAGCCTTTCGTCAGCCCATCCATCGTCCGACAGCTCGACCCATTGTCATCCCCGCGATTGCGTCCCCTCTTCCCCGGATTTCGCAGTAGGGCCCATCTCATCGACCTCCACCTCCTCCGACAAAGATCTGCTCCGACAAAGGTCTGCTCCTCCTTCGCAGCTCCATCCCCCCCCCTCCCATACCGAGACGAGACATCCACAACCATGGCGGCCAAGGCAACTCCCGACAACCCCGTCCTCATCGTGGGCGGCGGCTTGGCCGGCCTCGTCGCCGCCTATGAACTCTCGCTACGCGGCATCCCGACTCTCATCATCGACCAAGAGTCCCGTCAGAACCTCGGCGGCCAGGCCTTTTGGTCTCTCGGCGGCCTCTTCGTCGTCGACTCGACAGAGCAGCGCCGCCTCGGCATCCGCGACAACAAGGCCCTCGCCATGCGCGACTGGCTCGGCTCTGCCCAGTTTGACCGCGAGGACGAGGACTACTGGCCGCGCAAGTGGGCCGAGGCCTTTGTCGACTTTGCCGCCGAAAAGGGCGACGACGGCATGGAGGGCTACGTCAAGGGGCTCGGGCTGGGCTTCATGTTCAACGTCGGCTGGGCCGAGCGAGGCGACGGCCGTGCCGAGGGCCACGGCAACTCGGTGCCCAGGTTCCATCTCACCTGGGGCACGGGGCCCGAGGTCGTCCGCGTCTTCCGCGAGCCCGTGCTCAAGGCCGAGAAGGAGGGCATCATCCAGTTCCGCTTCCGCCATGCTGTCGACGAGCTCATCATTGACGAGACCACGGGCCGCGCTATTGGTGTGCGCGGCCGTACCCTCGAGGAGACGGACCTGCCGCGCGGCGTCGCCACGTCGCGCACCGAGACGGGCACCTTTGAGCTCCGCGGTGCCGCCGTCGTCGTCACGTCGGGCGGCATCGGCGGCAACGTGGAGGCTGTCCGCGCCGCCTGGCCCGTCGATCGCCTCGGGCCCAAGGTGCCTGAGCACTTTGTCGTCGGCGTGCCGGCCCACGTCGACGGCCGCATGATCGGCATCGCCGAGTCGAGCGGCGCCCACGTGATCAACCGCGACCGCATGTGGCACTACACCGAGGGTCTCGCCAACTGGGATCCCATCTGGCCGTCCCACGGCATCCGCGTGCTGCCGGCGCCGTCGTCGCTCTGGCTCGATGCCACGGGCAAGCGCCTACCGCCGCCGCTGTTCCCCGGCGCCGACACCATGGCGACGCTCAAGCACATTTGCTCCACGGGCTACGACTACTCGTGGTTCATCCTCGACCAGACCATCATCGCGCGCGAGTTTGCCCTCTCGGGCAGCGAGCAGAACCCCGACATCACGGGCAAGAGCATCTGGCAGCTGCTGACGCGCGTCTTCGGCAAAAAGGGCACCGTCCCCGTGCAGCGCTTCCAGCAGCATGGCGCCGACTTTGTCGTGCGCGACACGCTCGACGACCTCGTCGACGGCATGAACGACCCTACGCCCGCGAACGCAGGCGGGCCCGCTCTCGACGCCGCCGCCATCCGCGCCACCGTCGAGGCCCGCGACGGCCAGATGGGGAACCCCTTCTCCAAGGACGCTCAGGCCATGCTCATCAACAACGGCCGCGCCTACTGGGCCGACCGCCGCAGCCGCGTCGCGCCGCCACACCGCCTCCTCGACCCCAAGCACGGGCCCCTGATCGCCGTCCGCATGAACCTGCTGACGCGCAAGACGCTCGGCGGCATCGAGACGAACCTGCGCAGCAACGTCATGAAGACGGACGGACGCACGCCCTTTCCCGGCCTGTATGCCGCCGGCGAGGTCGCTGGCTTCGGCGGCGGCGGCGTGCACGGCTACAACTCGCTCGAGGGCACCTTCCTCGGCGGCTGCATCTTCTCCGGCCGGGCGGCGGGCCGGGGCATTGCCGCCGAGCTGCTTGGCGAGGATGGCATTCTCGATGAGAGGCTGAGAAAGCGGGAGCCTGCGAGCAAGCTGTAGACTTAAACATGGTGAAGTACAGGGGGAAGAGGAAGAGGGAGTAGGGGTCATGTGCATCTTTTTGTATGAGATACGTCGTAGCAAGCTTAGATTCAATCGATTGCATTTCGTGGGTTTTTACCTAGATATCCTTGCTGGCTGTAAGGCCCGCAAATAGTGTCATGTGCGTGATCGCTATCATAGTAGAGCGAACCCGAGATATGATTGTCTCAGAACCACACATCAAGACCTAGTAGGTACTGACGGATGATGGCATGAATTACTCGACAAGACACAACTGGCTTCGGCTTTTTGAGGAAGCACACTTTCGATGCTCGGAGTGAGGAGGCCACACGGTCCTGATGCATCCTGCCCTGGGGCATAGGTACCACTACCTGACAACGGAAATGTTGTAGCCCGCAGCATCAAAAGTAGGAAAAGCATCAATGACACTGACAACGTGCTTTTGATCATCAGCTCTTGTTCGAGAGCAAAAAGTCTTCCGATCGGGGAATTGAACCCCGGTCCCCGGCGAATGTCAGAACCAGAGTTCTTTGGTGACAAGCCGATATCCTAACCACTAGACTAATCGGAATTGGATGATAAGGCACTGGTCTAGCTTATGTATATTCCAACAAAATTCTACACACAACGAGTATGCATGCTGCCCTTGACTTGTTGCGATACTCAGAGCACCCTTGTAGGGTTAAAATAAATGAGAGAGCGAGAATACAATCTTCATTATCATCAGTGTTTGAAGCACATTGACAGAAACTGACCCCTCTTCGCCTGAAACTCAATCTCCATTATCCACATATCACTCCATCATCGCAGATCCTACACTGGTCCGAGTAGCTGCCCAACACCTTGCACCCCCTCGACGTGCATCCAGGCTCACCTGCCATGCACAATCTAGCGAACCCTGGCCGCGATCCAGGAGGCCGCGGCGGGCGCGTCCTGCTGGTATTGCGTGTGGGCAGGGGTGATGGTGAAGCCGCCCTCGCAAATGTTGTCGCCGGTGCGGCAGATGACCCGCGTGCGCGAGGCGGGGATGGTGCCGAACGGCTGGTTGCGCTTGGGGTCGCCAAAGGTGAGGACTGGTCTTGTCAGCTTGGTTGGACTCCTTGCGCAGGGAACGGAGTGCGTTGCAGCATCATCATGGGAAGAGGAAGAGGGGCACGGCGTACCGGCGGTGACCCTGTTGGTCTGGGCGGCAGTCAGCTGGCCGGCAGCGTTGTGGACGACCTGCGCGCCCTGGCTGTAGCCGCTGAGAACGATCTTGGTGTTGGGGCACTGGGTCACGGCCTGGACGGGTCACGGTCAGCTTGATGCTCCTGCTTCACTGTTCGACATGTGCCGGAGTGCACGGAACGATCTTACGCGAGCAGTGAGCTGGGCCATGGTGCGGCTCCCAGCGGCGTCACCGCCGGCGAGGAAGCCGGCGACGTTGGCGGGGTACGTCACGCCCTGGACGGCGAGGTTGGCCGTTCCGATGAGGCGCGCAAGGTTGTTGAAGGTCAGGGGCCCGACGGCGGCGGGGTCACCAATGTTGCCCTGCTGGGTGGTGCCGCGGGCGTAGATGAGCGTCACGGCGCGGCAGGGGGTTCCGTCCGTCAGCTGGTTCGAGACGCTGGCGGAGTACTGGCGTGCCGCGAGAGGGGTGGCGGGCGAGGTCTCCTCAAACTTCGAGGCGTAGTAGGCCTCGAGCTCGGCGAGGGGGAAGTCGGGGTCGAGCTGCGAAGAGGGAGCCTCGACAGGGGCAGCGAGAGCAGTACCCGCGAGGGCGAGCAGCAGGGTCTGGACGGCCTTCATGGTGGGTGGGTGAACCGAAGAGAGAAGAGAGAGAGTGCGGGTGAGAGGTTGTCGCTGTATAGACAAGCTTCCCCTCGCTCGCGAGATCGACGTCTTTATATAATTTTCCCTTTTGCTTCAACGGTAGTCATCATATGTCTCTTCTTCTTTTTCCTGGCAATGGTCGAATCTGGCATGCACCGCCGTCGCCCTGCGTTGATCAAGCTCGATCGGGCGTCATCGTCAGCGGGAAACTGGCGGGAAAACCATCACCATAGTCGGCTTTTCCCGTCCACAGCCTCATTATTGTTCTTCTTGACAGGCTCTTCCACTGGAGAGCCATCCTGGCATCCACGTGGGATTAGTCTTTCTGTCAGGCTATGCACGTAAAGCCGGTATTCTTCCCCAAATCC